GCCATTGTGAGGATCAGTTGGGGGATTAGGAAGAGAACAGTGGATGGGTTGTTCTAGCCTAGAGATGGTGACTGGAACACGGGGGGGGGGGGGTAGATGGGAAAACGCCAAGAGGTAAGCTGTTTGGAGTTGGGGTGGTTTTCAAGATACCTGTGGCAACTTCTGTGTGTGTCCCCTCAGGATGTGTGGCCTAATTATTTCTGCCCTGTGTGTGGACTGGAGTTTAGGATGTCACTTTCAACCTTAAGCTTTTAACAGATAGAGGGGGGCTTCTGATGGGGGTTCATGGTGGCATACTGTTTCAGTCTGGAAGACAGCTCACTGCAAGAGAGAATGACTGTCTTGTTCTGCATAGTTCTGGAGACAAGCCTATAAGGCAAGGGCTTAACCTTGTAGGAACCACGTGAGTTACCGTGAAGGCTGATTTCATTTCTATGCTACTACTTCGGCTGAACTTTCTGAAAATTCCGAAGGCATGGTTGCCAGTTCTGCTGCCAGCTTGAATGATGTGGAAAAACTTACTGTGCCTGGATTCCTTATCTGTAGATATTAAGAGATAACAAAGGAACATCATTTTTTAGGCTTGGTGAACCAATGAGTTCACTGGGGTTACTTAGAGGAACATGGATGGCTCAAGGGGATTTTTATCAATGAAAAGTCCAAGCCAGCATAGGTGATTACACATGAAGGCTAAGTACTTGGAGCTCACTGCCCAGTTTGTAGGCAGATCCATAGAGAGCATCCTCATTCCCAGATATTGCTTAATGCTGATGTTACCTTAGTGGGGGGAAAACCTAGCCAGCCTTGTAATTTTAAAATATAAATACAATACTTTTCTTAATTCTTTGAAAGCTTCCTATGTGTGTACAATGTGTTTTTATTGTATTCATCCCTTCCCCCTACTCCTCCCAGATCCATCCTTCATCCCAACTTCAAGTCCTCTTTTTCCTTTTCTTTCTAATACAAGTCCAGTTTGGGCTACATATACTCATGGAGGTAGGGCCACTAGCTGGAGAAAAGTTTACCTATCAGGGTCACACTCTTAAGGAAAATCAACTCTCCTTTCTTAAGCAGCCATCAACTGCCAGTAACTCTTTAGCTGGGTGCAGAATCTAATAAACACCCCCTCCATGCTGGAATTTTGCCTGGCTTGACCTTGAGTACATCTTCTGCTGGCAGTCATGGTTTCCGTGAATTTGAAAGTGCAGTGGTTCTAGGATGTCCAGAAGACACTGTTCTACATCAGCATGCCCTGACTTTGAACTCTTACAGTCTTTGAATTCTTTCTTCTTAGATGGCCCCTGACCCTTGTAGGAGCTGTTGATAAGCATGTTTGTTGGTATACATTGCCCACTAGAACTTGGTGGTAAGGCCCTATCAGCCATGGGACATCTGTGACTAAGCACTCTCTAGACACTTATTCTCTGTATCTTGACCAGCTGAGAGTTTCTGTATTAACCAAGGTCAAGTGCACAAAGAAATTTCTTCAATGAAGTCTAGGAGATAAAAATTTAGACAACAGTTTGATATTATCTCCATTTAGCAAAAGTATGACAGTAGGTTCATTCCTGGGGCCTGTACCCTCTGCAGTCATGGGTTCTTGGTTAGAACAGGTATGCATTTCTTCCTATGGAACGCTCCTTCAGCCCAATCAGAAAACACTTGGTTACTCTGACAACACTTATGCCATGATTACACCCATGTCCATGTCTTGTCACTGTTATTGTAGCTCACAGCATTCACAACTGGGTAAGAGTGCTGAGACACCTCCCCCTCCCCAGCCTGCATAGCACCTCCTGAAACTATGAGAACTGGCTAGCAAGGACACTTCCTTGTCAGAACCAATTTGATTTCTCTATGTCCTGTGACCAAACTATGTGGTGTCTTCAATAACAGGGTCTTCTTATCAAGTTCTAGTGGGCAATCAAGAGCAATGGTAATTTCCCGTATTTTGGGGGAGATCTTTGAAAAGATCCTGGTTGCCATTATTTTAGTCATTACATTAAGTATAACATATTTTTAATGCAATAGATAACTAATAGAGACTTGTTTAGAACAGGCCAATTTTTGGGTGTGTGTGCATATTTATGTGCATGGAAGTATCATATGTACATATGCTCATGCGTAAGCATGCATGTTAAGTTCAGAGGACAATGTCAGGCACTGCTACTCAGGTGCCTCTTTTATTTGAGGTCATATATCTCACTGGCCTTGAACTCAACAAGTTAAGATACACATGCCCCCACCTACCCAGGGCTGGGATTGTAAGCACATACCACCAGATATTTTTGAACATGGATTTGGGAAGACCAAACTTTTTCCTTCATGTTTGTTATCAGCTGAACCTATGATTTCATGGATGCAAGAAGGCACAAGGAAAATAGGATAGATGATAGAAATGTCTAGTGTCACTGTTGAAGTATGAAGAGCTTGGAGAACCATGACAAAACAGATCAGAAGGTCTGTTTTGGGGAACCAATGAGATGGCTCAGCAGGAGGGTACCTGTCACCAAGTTTAATGACCCAGGACACATATGATGAAAGGAGAGAATCAACTCCATCAATTTGTTGTATGATATGAGCGTGTATATAAAATGCACACACACACACTCAAAATAAATATATGAAGATGGAACTTTAAAAATAATTCACTTTGTACCTATTTTGAAGGGACTGTTAAATATGCCACAGGGAATATTGGCCGGGCAGCCTGCTAAGACATGCTTAAATTCCTTAACCATTGTTTGTCAACATAAGATGGTTGTAGAGCTGGATAGCTCTTCCTGTCTTTCTCCCTCTCTCCCTCCCTGTCCCATACACAGACACACTACACTCACACAATGACAATAGTCATTATTATTAATTAAAAATTTAAAAACATACAGTGGAGAAAGACACTGGATTTCTGCCTTCTGCCCTCTGCATGTGCAGTTGAATGCATCCTCTAACACACACACACACACACACACACACACACACACATATGCAAAGAAAGTGGTTGGAGAAATGTCTCTAGTCTTCTATTCTCTCATTAACCCATTCTAACATGACTTGGGTTCCTTTGTCTCAACTGCAGAATTTGTTCTAATTAAACCACCCACAGCCTCAACGTCATGAAATTCAGTGGCTCCTTCTCTCTTTAATAGTGCCCAGCTCACAATCATACTGGACATAGATTGTTGCTTTCATTCAAACATTTTCCTCTCTTGTAGATGATGGCCCTCTTCTCTCGAGTAGATGGTTGTGTTCCAAGAGTTGTCACCCACAATGTCTTAGCCTCATTCAGCTGGTAGCTAGCCCTTCCTAGAGGGTTCAAGAAAGCTTCATTTGATTTGCATCTTCTTCCACAGTGGATGCGGCAAGAAGACAAGCAGTAGCTGACCATCTTCCTTTCCAATGGTCCCCATGAAGGGTTGGTGTAGTTTGTTACACAGAAGCTCAAGTTTCACAGTCCTTGTTCCCAGGGGAGTAGAAAAACAGGGCAGTGGTTATGTTACGAAGTTAAAGGCTTTCCCTGGGAACAGCAGCTGAAAGCTAAAACACATTGACACATAATGGAGTTATTCTAGAAGACAGAAAGAGATGAATGTTGCAGAAGAGAGAAAATGCAACTGGGACCAAGTGACTTGAGAAGGAAAGAGATGCAGAGCAAAGTGGGGGGGGCTGGCCTTGAGTCAAGCAGTCCCCAGATGGAGGCAAGAAGAGGACTGAAGCAGATGAAGGTGGCGCTCCTCCCCCTGGGCCGTCCTTCCCCTTCTTACTGTCATCTTAACAAGCCCACTTAACATGCCTCATTTTCTCCAGATTGGTTTTTCTCCATGGCCCATGTGAATATCCCTAGTACACATATCGCTATTCACAGCATTATAAATACAATATTGACTTCCCTCCCTCCTTCCTTTCTTTCCTTCTTTCTGTTTTTAGAGATAGTGTTTCTCTGTGTAGCCCTGGCCGTCCTGAAACTCATCCTGTAGACCAGGCTAGCCTTGAACTCACAGAGATCCACCTACCTCTGCCTTTCTATGAGTTCTGGGATTGAAGGTGTGTGTCACCACCACTCAGCTTTGATATTTCTTTAAATTATATTCTTCCTCTCCCTCTCTCTCTCTCTCTCTCTCTCTCTCTCTCTCTCTCTCTCTCTCTCTCTCTCTCTCTCTCTCTCACACACACACACACACACACACACACACACGCATGCACGAGCGCGCATGGGCTCATGTACATATGGAGGTCAGAGGACAAGCTTCAGAATTCAAGTCTACTTCCATCACGTTAGTCCTAGTTACAGAATGTGGGTTGCCAGGCTTGGCAATAAGTACTCTTACATAATGAGTCACCTCATTGGCCAGCTCCATAGTGATGATTTCTTTGACTCCCTTCACTGGACATAAGCCCCACAGAGACTTTCATTCCTCTTAGCATCTAGAACAGAACCCGTTACACAGCTGATACTCAGTTTAATATCAGCCAAGTTAGGGAGATGCTGAATGGTGGAGTCTTGTGTCTGTAAACTCAGAATTGTGGATGGGAGAGGTGGTATTTTGAAAGGATGATGTTGCAAGGCAACCGTTCTGTGGTCCACTTGGTGAGAACAGCCTGGATGTTAGGGGTTCCGACCAAAGCCCTCTCTTCTGCATTGTTAATTGGCTGCTTTAATGATGAAGCTTTGAGCCCCTCTGAGCCACACGGATTTTTTTTTCTTTTTGGCACAACGTGAGTGAAAGCTTACCCTCCTGGCTCATTCCTTTTTCCCCACGGTTCTCTGTTTCCTCCAACTTGCTTAATCCCTTCCAGACCAGTTTAAGCACCATCTGCTTTTCTCTCCTTCAAGTTGGGGGATGGGTTGGAGTAGTTGAGGAGAATGAAGCACCTGGCCAGGAGAGTGCAGCTGGAGGACTCTGGCTGACCTGGAGCTGTGGCACTGGGGGCGGCTCCGGGCAAGTTGAGGTTGTCCAATCCAGAGCTGTCCAAGCCTCTGGGCTGCAGGCCTCAGGATCGACCAGAGTCCCTGCACTTGTCCATACTGAGCCTGTGTGTCAGTCTCAAGCCATGGCCAAGCTGATAGGGCTCACCATCGTGGGACTGCTGTTGGCATTCTACAAGAACCATCAGTCTTCCTATCAGTAAGTTGCTTTGGGGTAAATGGGGTGAGGGCTGAAACCCCATGGTCCCCACCCCTATCGGCTCCAGGAGTACCTCCATACTCTAAAGTAGCTCCAGGTTCTTAACAGGAAAATCTATAGCAAACATTCCTCAATTGAAGGCTTCACTGAGACTTGTAGACAGGAAGCCTGCTTGCCAACCCATCCACATGAAAACAACCTTTCCCTGGTTGGCCCACATGCCTAGTGGGTGAGGGGATGGAGGAAAGGGGCATCCTGTATGGGAATACTGGTCTGGTTTTGCTTTCAGCAAGGTATCTTGGGCAAATCATTTTGCATCTCTAAACATTGAATGCTCCAATAAACTGGACATAGAGACATATATAGAAAACTACCAACAAGGAGCCTGGGATTCAGCAGCTGTTCAGTGGTGTTTGTTCCTGCTTCTCTTGAAAGCATTTAACAACCCACCAGGGTGTTACTGGGCAGGAGGCCGAGAATTACACGAAGTTTCAGAATAATCTTCCATAAGGGTTCAAAGTCTAGACACCATCCTATTCTAAAAGGCTTAGTCAATACTATTGTGTTATTTACTCTGAAGTAAAAAATTAATCAATGTGGACTATTTGGGATTAAACAGTTATATAATCTTATGGACTAATTAGAATCTTACCCACAGAGTTGGGTTTTGTAAATTTTTGTTTCTTAAATCACAGAATATTAGAAAAGCATTTGGGCTTGAAAAAATTGTATGTGTAGTATATATTTGCGTGTTTGGATGGCTGGGCCTACCCGTGATGCACCTGGGGAGATCAGAGATTGGTGTTGAAAATCTTCCATCACGTTGGACCTCATGGTTTCAAGGCAGGGTCTCTTACTGAAACTAGAGCCCCATGACTGCCTAGATTGTCTAGTAAAGAAGACCCAGAAATCCACTTGTCTTCTCTGCAGTGTGGAATCACAAGTGTACACTGCAGTATCCCGCTTTTTCCATGGGTGCCAGGGATGATAACATAGGTCCAAGGGATGATAACAACATAGGTCCAAGCAAGCATTTTAACCACAGAGCCAGCTCTATAGCTTGCCTGGGGCTTTTATCTGCTGTAAAAGTCAGCTAAATTATGGACTAGGAATTGTATGTAGAGTCCCCTGGAAGATCTCTGGCAGGAGATGGAAGGGACACAGCACCTCCTGACCAGAATTTCTAAAGTCTCAACACACAAGGATCCATGGGTCTGAGAGGTACCCAAGACCTCCCTGGATAAGCAAAGTCTTAGGCCCCACTTTACATGGCTGAATCTGGTAATTCTTACTTAGCAAAGACCCCAGGCCCAGCAAATTTGTATGCTCTGTAAAGGATACTCAGACCCTGCTTGTTGTAACCAAAACCAGAGATCCCGAGGGATAGATCAGGACCTACCCCTGTTTGGAGACAATGCATCTGAGACTCAGGAAGATCAGGAAAGAAGTGACTGTGTCATTTCAAGACATGATGGCAGACCCTGCCCTCAGAGCACATATGGCTTTCTTACATGGACTACATGTAAGCAGGGATGTGGTATGTACCTGAGGAGTTGGAGGAGGTCACAGGAATCAAGCCTGTGCCTTGGACAATTTCCTGAACATCTGATATGGAAGAGGCAAAAGGGAATTACCCAGGGTCCTTTTCATCCTTGAAGTCAGATCTGGCACGGGCCCAGAACAACACAGAATGTTCCTTGAGGATGTGAGATGTGGCTCCTTCGTATATTTGCCACCATTATGTGTAAGATCTCTGTGTTTCTGTCTTTGGATGGGAATGACCAAGCCAGCATTAATTCCTCAACATATCTCTACCCCACACTCATACACTTATGCTATGTGTCCTATAGACAAAGATGGTGGTGGATTCCCAGCAACATGGATAAGATATCATTTCTGCGACTTTGAATTTACTTTATCATGTTAATACCAAGAAAAGTTACAGACCTTTTCTCTACCTAAAACTCGTGGAAAAAAATAACACACATTGCACTAATAATCTCCCTGCCATCATTCATTTTCATAATTGTCATATATGACTTCAGAAATCCATCATGACACTTGGTGTGTTAGTCAGACCTTTTGTGACTGTGGCCAAAAGACTTTAGAGAAACAACTTAAACAAAAAGACTTATTTTGGCTCAAGGATTTGAAGTCGAAATCCATGCAGGCTGTTCCATTACAATGGGCCTGCTATAAGAAAGGTGTAACTGGAGTTTTCTTCCAGACAGGTGCTGCCACCTTTTAGGCCCAAATAAACACACAGAGACACTATATTAATGATTAAACGGTTGGCCAATATGTAGGTCTTCTTATTGGCTAATTCTGTCTTAATTATTAACCCATTTCTATTAATCTATGCATTTCCATGTGGTCTTGGCTTACCAGAGAATGCCCAGATCTGTTACTCCTTTGGCAGTTACATGGCATCTCTTCATGTCACCCCTCTGCCTCTCTCCCTAGCATTTTCCTCATTTCCTAGCCCCACCTATATTCCTGCCTTTACTGGTTATTCATCAACCAGTAAGAGAAATATATATACAGAAGGACATCCCCCATCAGGAAGGTCAGGATGAGCAGAGTGTGTCTTAGTTAGGGTTTCTCTTGCTATAAATAGATACCATGACCACACTGATTCTTATAAAGGAAGACATTTGAGGTGGCAGCTTATAGTTTCTGAGGTTTAGTCTATTGTTATCATGGTGGAGAGCATGGCGGCATGCAGGTAGGTAAGGCGTTGGCTACATCTTGATCAGAAGGCAACAGGAAAGTGGACTGTGGCACTGAGTGGAATCTTGAGCAGAGGAGACCTCACAGCCTGCCCCTGCAGTGACACACTTCCTCCAATAAGACCATACTTACTCCAACAAAGCCACACCTCCTAATACTGCCATTCCCTATGAGATTATGGGAGCCAATTACATTAAAACTACCACGGGATGATAAGAGCAGGGAATAGAAAGCTAACTATTGCATGATGACCATTAGCAGAGAGAAACAGAGTAAAAGGCTTGAGGACAGGATAGATTTTCAAATCCATAGGTCCAGTAGCCCACTTCCTCAAATTCTGCCCACCTTTTGTAGTGTCCATGATCGTCAAAGAGTCCATTCAATTATGGACCCATGAATACATTACTCTATCAATTAGATCAACACCATCATGACCAAAGGCCCCATCTGTGAGCAATGAACTGAGACCACACATCCAGCAAATGAGAATTTTGGGGATTTTATATAATGCTTGAATATTACCATAATTTCGACACTATGGTAAGAACTAAATTGCCTTCCAGATCTGTTGGACGATTAGGCTATCTTCTCTGTCTGCCACACTAGACTAATAGTACTGTAGAACAATCCATTGGTTAAGCTCACTCCTCTACAAGCTCCATGTTCACATTGGAAGCCATGTTGTAAACAAAGAGGTGTAGCATCACTCACAAATTTAAGTATTTAGAGGAGCAACAAAAGCAAAAACCAATGATTTAAAAGCACATTAAGGGACTTGGTAAACATATATTTCATGGTTCATGACAATGAATGAAGGAGCTACTGATTCCATCACAGAAGACCACAGGAAGCTATGGAAGGCAGGAAGGAGTCATGGGTAATGAGAAAAAAGGACATTCAAAGTGGAATAAAAAGTGTAGGCTAATGAAAATGGTACAAAGGAGAAGTAAGAAAGAGAGTGCTTTGGATCATGGACCTGGATTTCATATCTCTGTTGCACCTTTTAAATTAAGGGGTCACATCAGAATGACCTGGTATTTGATGTTTTCACAGATAGAACAAGGAAGATGTATGTGTGTTGGGGGAGGCAGAGGCAGAGACAGAGACAGTGAGAGGACAACTCAGAGATTGAACCCAGGAGCTTGAATAAGCCAAGCGAGTGCTCTACCTCTGAGCTAAACCCCCAGCATGGAAAACATAAATCTTTATTTACAAAACTGCTCGAAGGATTAAATGAGGAAGTATGTGTAAGTGACGTTAGCATGGGATTTGGCACATAGTAGCCTTCATAAGGAAACCCAGACAAATAAGGAATGGCTGGTAGCACAAGATGGAAGTACCTGGGTCCCAGAGTTCCAGCGTAGCTTAAGAGTCTAGTGTGCTTTGGCAGGGAGTCGGTGACTATTTGTACATAACAGCTCACAGCAAAGTTTACATGAATCTGAGGGCATAAGCCCCATGGGGGACATTTGAGTGAAGGACAAAGGAAAAATGAATAGATGTGAGAAGGAAGCATTAGCAGGACCCTCAACAGAGCAAAGCCATTGATGTGGCATTTGAAAGAAGCAGACCACAATGCTGTTCACATGTATGTGTGTAGGTGCTTGCCCACTATGTGTGATGCCTTTTTGCATGCTGTCCTTGAATATGACTTTCTGAAGTTGTAAATACTTTTAAAACACACCTGCATTTTCATATATGAAAGGCAAATAACCCATCCAAGATGCAGAGCCAGACAGAATAGAAAATACATATTCTTGAGCTGGATGTAAGGTATCCCCATTTTAATGTAAGCATTTGGAACTGCTTGTTTTTTCTAGTATGGTTTTCAAATGTTTAACTGATCTAGAACTATAAAGCAACATACGTATTTCAAGTTCACATGTGTAGAGAAATAACAAGCTCTTCCTGTGAGAATCTCCCAGACATCAGTGGCATTAACTGGAGCCTGGCTGCCGCTCAACTAAGCTAACTTTCCACATTGGAATCCAAGGACAACTGATGAAATAGTTCCTGTGATTGCCAAAGTTCACAGAGCCTGGAGGACACCACATAACTCTTCGTGTATCTGTCCTCCTTTGCACGTAACAGTCCTCACTCAACTGTGTGTTGTACCCTGGGGTCCCCACTGGTCTTAAAGAATCTGCCCAGTAATACTAACTCAGGGAAGGTACCAAAGGCAAAAGACAGTTAAAGAGAACTTTGTGGGCTACTATTGCAGCTCAGCTCTACCTTCTGAATTTCATGTGTATTTTATTCTTTTTTCCTTTCCAGAAAAAGATTAACTGCTTTCCATGAAGTAACTCCTGTAGACCTTCCTAACTGTAATTTAGTTAAAGGAATCGGTATGTATATGGATGAGGAATTGTCAAGTTTTACATGCAAGGATATTATTTCACTATATATTTTGCTAATGCTCTAGTTCAGTTTCATCCAAAATTACAGCATTGAATCAGGAGTGTAATATGAAGTCAGGAGCTGCTTACAAACACCGTGTACTTTGACTTTTGACCTCACAGGTGTATCACCAAGACACTTCAGTTTTTACTGGGCTTTGCTTGGTTAACAGAACAAAAATTATATCCAGAACAACGGTTTTATGGTAACAAAACCCAGGCAGCCAGCAAAAGGGAGACGGAGGAAGGAGATTAAAGCCCAAAATAAAGAATAATTTTTTAATGAACCCTCTCTCAGGCAATTACCACAAGGCTTTTTCACGTGCTGCCTCTTTGAGTGCTGGCGAGGAGAGTCTTTTCCAGAAGTTCTCAGCAGATTTCCCCTTAGATCTCATTAGACAGAGCTGGGGGACAGGCTGATGTCTTAGCTGCAAAGGAAGCTGGGAAGATAATTACTGTTGTCCATCCTGGGAGGCAAGACCTGTCAGCAAAGATAAAAAGGTGAAGAAGCAGTAACCCCTGATAACCAACTGAGAGCATCCCGAGCTCAAGTGTGCATCTGGTTTCCACCAACCAGCTAACATTGTCAGTCTAGGCCAACTCATTTGCGATCCATGCTTTTGTTGGGCTTAGGTAGTGGTTGAGATCCATGCTTTTGTTGGGCTTGGGTAGTAGTTGCTGGCTTTTGCTCTTAGAATTATTTGTCTGAGGTAACTCTAGTCCAGAAGGCGAGTCAAGAAGACTCATTTATGTAGTATGCTTAAACATGAGCAGATATCTTACAGCACCACCACTCTTTTTCTAGAAAAGCATAATACTGCTGTCAATATTATGGGTACCTGAAAAACCTATGCACCCATTAAGAGTATGACTACAAAAACAAATACTTTGTTTCTGTGTTAATTGAAAAATTTAAAAATTGAATGTATTTAAGTAGTAACTCACTTGAAGAGCTATTTCATGAGTATTTATACTTAGCAAATACATGCTACTGATTATCAGCAAAATACCCCCCACTTAAAAGACAAACATTTGGGGTTTGCTTGTATTTCTAATATGGTTTTCATATGTTTAATTGATTTGGAACTATGATGCCGTACCTGTACTTGGAGTTTATGAGTTCTGAAGTTTAGGCTAATACCAACTCTTTCCAAATAATCACGTTTTATATTTTCTGAATATATGAGAGATCTTGATTTTGAGATGAAAAGCCATTGATTTGAAGCAAGTAAATGAAGTGCAAATTGTCACTGTGCTTATTGATGTTATTAATATTTTTTAAAATCCCAATAACGCTAGGCATGGTGGCACTCATCTGTCATTCCATCACCTGTGAGGGCCATCCTCAATTTGCAAAGTGAGTTCAAGGCTATCCTAGGTTACGTAAAACTCTACCAAATCAATCAATCAGTCAATCAATAAATAAATATAAAATTCATTTTGTTTTTGCTTTTGTTTTTCCAGACAGAGTTGAACAGCCCTGGCTGTCCTAGATTTCATTCTGTAGACAAGGCTGACCTTGAAGTCATCGAGATCTGCCTGCCTCTGCCTCCTGTGTGCTGGGATTAAAGGCGTGCGTCACCAATGGCCTGGCTAAAGTTTATTCTTTAATGTTCTTATGGTCACATTCTTCAATTTGAGTGGAAGGAAGGACTCATTCTGAACCTAGCAAACAGTAGCTCAGACGAAGACCCATTTTCAAGTGAGAGGAGGTAAAGGATTGTCAGCTTCCTACCATGGTTTGAAACAGTCTGTCCTCTGCTTCCCTTCCTGCAGAAACAGGTGCTGAAGACATAGAGATCCTGCCGAATGGACTGGCTTTCCTCAGCACTGTGAGTGTTTGCTGTCACTTTCCAGGACTGGCAATTTATGTTTTTCTTGGACCTCCTGTATGCTAGTGTCCACTTTAGAATGAGATGGGCCCTGTCCTCTCACAGGGCTGGGAATGTGCTCTGTTCACATAAGGATTGGCTAAAGAGTATGTGAGGTGTGTAGGGGAGAGCAATAAAGGAACCTGCGGCTTCCAGAGTATCCTGTGGGCCAGGCACACTAGTCAGTCAGTTAAGAGGTGGCCCCGTGGTCATCTGTGGCCCAGAGCACCTATCATGGACACACATGGCAATCTTCACCTCTCAGCTCTTTGGAATATCTGTGATAAGCCTGCTTTATCTTCACTATTCCTTTAGGGACTGAAATATCCTGGAATAAAAAGTTTTGATCCCAATGAGCCTGGAAAAATACTTCTGATGAACTTGAATGAGAAGGACCCAACAGTGTTGGAGTTAGAAATTAGAGGAAATAATTGGAATAAATCATCATTTAACCCTCATGGAGTCAGCACATTCACAGATGAAGGTAACAATTAATACTGAATAAAAAAAAGTATGCTTAGGATACTTTTATCCTCATCCTATGAAAGGCTGGTCATGATGAATTTTTATGGGTTTTGACCTTACCTCCTGTTTTAAGTAAGCAATGGTAAAATGCCTAAAAGCGCTAAATATCTCAGATTTGTAAAGCCACTGATTTCATAGTAGAATGCGCATTATGTTTATAAAATAGTTGTATATCCAGCTTTAACTGCAATGAGTTTTCCGTGGTAAGCAATTGAACAATCGAAGCATTGCCTGTAGACTTTGCAGCCCTGAATCATGACTCCAGCAGACACAGTGACACTGCGTTCCTGCACAGCTCTCTCAGCCCCATCCCTGAGTGCTCTGTTCACTAACTGGAAGCTCTTTTTCATTTTCATTTGGATGTTTTTACCTGCACTAGTTTTCCTCACCCACGGCACCTTTATCTATTATCTTTCCCTATATGTTTGGTGCCATTTCCTCTGCAGTACAAAAATTCTTAAATTCAGTTGCACACAGAAACACCTGGAAATGTAAAAATCCCAATGCACAAGTTTCAGGCCCCAAGAATTGAATCCTTCTGGTTTGACATTGACCGTAACAATGGTTAAGACTTGTCCAGGTGACAAAAATGCTCATTTATACTCATTGTCTCCATTCCCTCCTCCCCTCCCTTCTTTCCTCTCTCTCCCTCTCTCCCTCCTTTCTTTCATCCTCCCTTCCTCCCATTTATCTATTACCCACTTTCTTTCAAGAGCATTACCCCACGCCATATTCCAGCTTCTGGGAGCTGCTTCTGCGATCCCTGCCAAGTGTTCCCCTAATCAGTCACTCTGTGAGCAGTCCCTCATAGCCTCGGTTTAACATCACTTGACTGCCTCTTTATTTCTCTCATCCAGACTTTTCAAACTAGTCACTGTCTGTGCCTATATTCTGGGAAAATATCTCCAACTGTGAGTTACTAGTATCATTTTCCCTTTAGGTATTCGGTCCCATTGTTGAAGGATCTTCCTAGAAACTTCCATTTGTGTTCTTCTCCTATGGCCACTTTAAATGTAAAATGCCAAGAAATTAGTGTGTGTGTGTGTGTGTGTGTGTGTGTGTGTACACGTCAATGATCTTTCTGTTCAGCCACCCAACCTTTGCCATTTTAATTCCCTTTCAAAACATTATAGGTGCAAAGAAATATAGCGTTTGGCATGTGTAACTTTTAAAACAATAACATTGGTGTGATATTACCAAACCCTTTGGTATCTGGCTGTTGCTTTCAGCACTGCATCCCAGATTTCTTTTATGTCTGTGCATTTAGGGCCGCTTTCAGGGTTCTTGGGGGCTCAGTTGTGTGGGACTCCTGAGAACTGCCCATTTGCTTGTATGTAAGGAGGTGTTCTCACCTTTTGCCCCTTTACAAGTGACACTCTTTCACGTGGACCATCTAGAAACATTCTTTAGAATCAGCTTCTAGAAGTAGAATATTCTGTTATACAGTGTGAATTCTGGTTTTAATCCTTAACTTTATCAGATTTCCCCAGATAACTCACGGCTTCCCTTTCTTTCCTTCCTCTTCACCCTCTTCCTCTTCTTCTTGAGATGGGTTCTTACTCTGTTTGCCTACAATCAACACTGTTGCCTTCACCTCCCAAATACTAGCATTAGATGGTGAGCTACCATTCTCTTCTCACCCCTTCTCCAGGCCAGTAGCATCTTGTCACAGTGTCTCTGATCATACCTTCTTTACCACTCAGAGCACTTTCTTTTATGCCCAAAGTCCTCTCCCTCCCTCCCCCTCTCTCTCTCATTCTCCCTGAAGCATTTGTCATCTTCCACTGTGTAAATGACATGAAACCTCACCATCTACTGTGCAAATTACACATGATCTAGTCCAGTTCCGACGCCCTTAATCCTCTTACTTCAACGTGGTATCTCACGAAGATCACTTGAGCCATCAAAGCTCAACAAGCTGTCTGAAGTTTCAGTGCTGGTGATGTTCATTCTGAAGTTCAGGGCTTTTTTTATTTTTCCTCCTGTGAAGTTGTGAGTTTTTAGAAGTTGTCACTACTTTTTCCTTTAGCCACTTTTCTTAGGAGCAATCACAAATGCTTTTCTCTACAAAGATGAAAATATTCCATCTGCCTGACATCCTAAGTACTAGTTGGAGGTGGGTTGAAATTGCTTTGGGGAGACGGAACTGACAGCCGAGAGCTTCAATTTTTTGTTTTTCTTCTCCTTTCAGATAAAACCGTGTACCTACTGGTAGTCAGCCATCCAAACTACAAGTCCACTGTGGAGGTGTTTAAATTTCAAGAACAGGAAAGATCACTTTTGCATCTGAAAACCATCACACATGAACTTTTGCCAAAGTACGGAGGTGCCTTATATGTACTGTTCCCTTGATGGTGCAAGATGGCACATTCACATTTAGCTTTTCATCTGGGCCAGGGCAGATTCAACTCTTCTGAATGCTCTTCTTCAGAACCCTAAGAGTGGGCTCATTCCATTCTTCCCCCATCTATCCCATTCTGGGTAGACACTATGGCTTAGCTCCTGTCCTCAGGATCTCCATTCAAGCCATTCTGAGGAATTAAAAAACAAAACAACACAAAAATATTTCTTGACAAGACCAATCTCAGAGGGTCCTATAATCTCCAAACAGATATATAAGATAAGATCCCCAACTCAGCACATCCTTATACTACATCTACTAGTGGTGTGTTAAACTACTTATGAGTATACTGGGTTCCATGTTAGAATCCTGGACAACACGACACATGGGAAAAGTAGACATCTGATGACATCAATTCTAGTTAACCCAACAAAAGTCAGTATTTTCACTTAGCCTAGGAAGAACTGGTCTACGGGCCCAATGATAAATTTAAAACAATCTAATATTACCTCCCCAATAACTTCTATTTTGGGTTCCTAGAAATCTAGTACCTTCTAGTAAAATTTAAGAGCGGCATTCATCCACCTTGATTTTTGTACATTTGGATCTGTACTTGTTGTAGCTACTTAGCAAAATCTTGGCATCTAGTATACAATGTTTTATATGTGTGTCCCCCCTGCCACCTCACTTAGCAGATGTGAAGATGAGGATGCTGAGAGTGGGAAACAGTCAAATTACTAGACAAAGCTTGACCAACTAGTTATGGACCAAGTAGGAACCAAGGCCCATGTTTTCTGCGTTCTCTGGATGAGATCAAATGGAGAGAATAGGTTACATGTAGAGGTTTCTATTTATACAAGTGTATTTGAGTACGTAGGGTGTAGCTCAGTTGAAAGAGTGTTTGTCCAAAACCCTGGGTTCAATCCCCAGCACTACAGAAAACAGGCATGGTGGTACACATCTGTAATCCCAGTCATTGTGAGCTCAAGGCCAACCTTAGTACATATGGATCTTGAGGTTAGGCTGAGATACAGCAGATATATATAAAATATATAACATTATGTATACCACACACACACACACACACACACACACAGCGTTTTAAAGAAAGAATGAGGCCTTCAAGTGTCTAATGAGGGAAAGACATCTGAAGTGGAGAAGCTGACAGAATTGTGACAACAGTGGCAATGGAAGGAGTCTCAGCTAGATGTCAAGTTTATGCAGACTGCTTTAAACACGTGGTTTATTGACTGTTTGGGAGCAGCCTCTTAATTTGGTGTTATTATTATTATTATTATTGTATCCTATGTGGATTTAATTGTTTTTGAGACCTGACCAATCTGTGCAGTTGCCTCAGATAACAACCTCAGCCATTAATATAGCTGGGATTAGCTTGAGGCCAGGGCTTATGATACTCTGAGTCACAAGAAATCATGAAAATTAATTTTTTTTAGTCACCAGTGTTTCCAGTTTTGCAGAACAGGGTTTTTTATTTTCTGGGTCAGATGTGAAAATATTGTGGATTGGCAGCATGGAACCAGACCACAAATAATCAGAGTGCCACAATTAACTAGGATTTGGCTCTCTTTACCCAAGGATTAGTCATTCACATTTGTGGCTTTGTATTTTAGTGTTGTTTATAGTATTAATATTCAAATGACTAGATCTGTCGTAAGTTAATCGTGTTAATAACAATATCACGGCTGTTTTTATTGGCCCTTTCTGCGTGCCAGACACGATGGCAAGGCCTTTATATTCACTGTTTCATCTCATCTTTAGCCAACACACCAAGCTACAGAAAGAACACTGAGTTTCAGGAACTGTCTCAAAGTCGGGTGACATGCTGTGGCCGCACGTTGTGACCATAGCAGGCAGGCTCAGATTCAAACAGTATACCAAATTTCAAAGCTATTGCTCCAAACCGCTGCCATCTGTTCCTTTTCCACGTAGAACTGCATACTAATTTCTAAAATCTGCCTGAAAAAGAGAAGTGATAGCAGCTTGTTAGTCTTTGTCCGAAGCCTGCACAGATTCCTTGTAACCCCGTGGACATTTTTCCACTGTGGTAATAGTGGCCGCTGGGGATGGAAGACTCAGTGAGTCTGGCTGCCGGCAAAGCTGGCAGGGTTGTCTCATTGTAATTCCCGCTGTGCTTCCACGGTCGAGACACCGACCTTAGGCTTCTCTAATGAGCCGTGTGGCTTTGAGGGGAAAATAGTCTAAGCTCTCCTTACAGATGAGAAACTGAGGCTCCGGGTACCATCTCGCTCACTCCTGAGCTCTGGCTGCGTCAGAGCTGACACATTCGCCATTATGTACTCTGCAGTAAAGCGAAGATAATTTTCTCTCAGATCATGGCCCCAGGGAACTTCCGTCACCTCAATCAGCACGGAATGACTCACTTATGTGTTTGCTATTGTACCTATTAAAGCTGAAAAATGGACTCATAGATCTTACATTTTCAGCAGCACGCAGAGAGAATCCTAATCAGAAAGAAAGAGCCAAATATCCTATTTCTGAACAGTCTTGCTTGTGGACTTGTTCAGCTAAGGGGCATGAAGCTTCATGGCAAATGATAGAAGAGACTATCTTCCTTCCCTGATAAGGAAGCTGAGGCCCTAATGTGTGAAAGGATTGATTCTCCCTTAGACCACACAGCTCATAGAGCTGGAACCACAGTGCTACCTGATGGATGTTTTTACTCCCTGTCGCAATGGACTTGGCTGATCATGATCTCTGGCTTAATTCAATGTTTACTGAATACACACACACACACACACACACACACACACACACACACCACAGCACTACATTTGCACTTAAGCTAATATTATTGTCATGTCTCAGTATTAATAATCAGATCTTATTATCCTCAGGGATTGGCTAGAACTGATGCCATAGTAATTCTGGCCTATCCTTGTTGGTGTGAGGACTCCATCCCATATTTTGACTTTAAGGCTAGACTTTAATATCTTCCTGTGTATAATCAAGTTTATTTTTAATTTCAGTGTCAATGATATTGCTGCTGTTGGACCTGAGAGCTTTTATGCCACAAATGATCACTATTTTGCTGACCCGTACTTAAGGTCCTGGGAGATGTACTTAGGTCTGTCATGGTCCAATGTTGTTTACTACAGTGCTGATAAAGTCCAGGTGGTAACAGATGGATTTGATTTCGCTAATGGCATTGGCATTTCCCCCGATGGCAAGTATGTGTGCTTTCTATAACACAATGGGTTTATTTGGATTCTCCTTATATAGCTTTAGAACAGTTTTTTCCTATGTAATATGATTATCTTTTGTGTTATGTTAGTAAGATGAGATTTGAGAAAAATGTAAAAACTACTGATTTGGGGGAGTCTCTAATGAGTGAATATAGTTTGATCTCTATTATGCAAAGGATCTTGTACCAGAATGGAAAGCAGGATACTGGTTCCTCACCAGGAACGCTTACTCTCTTAGGTACTTTTCTATTGTTGTACAAAAGACACCTCACCCAAGGAAATTTATAAAAGAAGTCATTTAATTGTGGGCTCACAGTTCCAGGTGAATCTAAGACCAGAAGGCCACAGGCAGGCAGGTATGGTGCTAGCCTAGTAGCTAAGAGCTCACTTGTTGAGACAAAATCCACAAGGTGTGTGTGGGGTGCTAAGTGGGAATGCCACAGCCCTTTTAAACCTCAAAGCCCAACTCCAGTGACATAACTCCTCCAATCCATCTCTAATCTTCCCCCCAAACTTTAGCCTATGGGGACCATTCTTATTCTTATTGTACGGAAGAGTCAATGTAACTATTAGTGATGTAGGCTACTACCTCATGTTGGTTTTGCAATAAACAGTTTGCAGACCACTATTGGTCTGGGAACCACATATAAAATCTCTCCATCATCCATCTATACCCCCATCATCTATATCACCAGACATTTCAGAGCATCAGTAACACAACAGTTTTATGTTGTTCATAATGTCTCAAATCCTCACAGAAGATAATAATTAGCACACCACTTCTTTCATTGTTCTAGAATACACTGTGCTTAATCTCATCAAGAATCTTTATGGTGTACGGTGTTACACCTTGTGCAAATTACGAAACTTATGCTTGGATCAGGCTCAGAACAGGAAGAAAGAAAGACTTCTCTGCATTGAAACCAAACCCTTGTCTTTTCTCATTCTTTCTCTGGTCTGGAATGGAAGGCCATCACAAAGAGGGTTTCCCGATGCTCCCCAAAGCCCGAATTTACCACCCTCTGACATGCATAATCTCAGGCTTGCCACTGTGTTGCAGCAGTGTGCAAGGCAAATAGTGAGAGCAGGTGATAGCATTAAGTTTCTTCCCTGCTGATCAAGGATGAATGCCTTGCCACCTTAGGTAATGACTTTCCACTGATTAAATGCTTCATGCCCTGTAGACCCATAGAGCTTTTCAGAGTTGAGTTTGCTTTCAGATGGATTCGGTTTTCTAGTTTTTACGCAAAGTTCTGCCCCAAGATGAGTTATCACACCCCAGCCTTTTGGCATCGCTTCAAGCACTTTAAGGGAGCTTTTTCTTCTTTGAAGGCATGTCTACATAGCTGAATTGTTGGCTCACAAGATTCACGTGTATGAAAAGCATGATAATTGGACTTTAACTCCATTGAAGGTAAGATGTATTAACACTATAAGTTTGCAGAGTGATAATTAGATTCTAATTGACTTGCGAAATTAAAAGCGAGGAGAAAGGGATTCTCTAATTGGAGTGGGTGAGAAGCAATTTTTCACTTATTTGTGAAGAGCCACCATTACCATCATGTGTTGTTGTTTCCTTCTGCTGCTTGGCAGAGTGGGAGACAGCAGCCCAGGCATCTCACACAGGGAACTCTGAAACTTTCTGCTCCCGAGAATGTTAAGTCGGGTTGTTTCCCAGCTTCTCCCCTGATCCCTTTTACTACTTTTCTCATCCCTCGCCTCTCTGGCTCTCTGTGTCTCTCCCTCACTCTCTCTCTGGTGACAGAGATGCCGAGAAACGGATCCCACTTGTATTTGGCATCCTGCAGCGCTGTGCGACAGTCGCACACTCACAATGGCTGCATGTGGCTGGGCTACTTCCAGATGTGCTCCGTTGCCAGCTGTCCTTTTGCCAGCTGGTCGGGGGCATCCAGAAGCAGACCCCGAGTCCTTGCTTTCCTGGTCTCTGCGGCTCTCTCATCTTTTCCAGTTCTTGCTGATATGACACTTCAGTCAGACCTTCCCTAATGACCCAAACTACTAACTAACAGCTCCCCGCTCCCCACTGTGGGTCCTGATTTCTTGCTGGCTTTATTCTTGCTTTCAGTTTTTATTCCACCAGCATACACATCTTACTACTCGTCTTTACTCTCTGTAGGATTCACCAGGACCGATTTGTTTTTCTGTTTGTTACTGGAAGAGTTCCTAACATCTACTAAGAGTCCAGTAGACATTTGCTTAATCACTATGGTAGGTCTGGCTGCATACCAGAGCCTCACCTTCTGCCCCTACTAATTCTGGCCTAAGCTAAAAGTTTTGGTCAGAAAGTATAATTTTACAAAGGGAAGGAAGGAAGGCTTATCAAAATAAAACATTATGAAGTGGCCCCTGTCCCTGCAGAGCCACAAGACACCATGCTGCCAACATCCATGCCCACAGCACTAAGCACTATCACTGTTTCTGTCACCATGTCTTAGGGACTGTCACAAGGGGCCTCACTCAGAGAAAATTCCCTGAAAGCAACATCAAATCTAACATCGTGTTTGACATTAAAAATCATTGGCAGAGCTAGTTTAACATTAGCTACAGAGAAATAAAATTTCACACACTCCAACTGGCTTAGGGAATAAAAACACACTGTGCTTGCTTATAATAGCAGATGCTTCTGCAAGGTGAAAGTTAAGGAATTTTGTTATAAATCCAGTTCAATATACACTCAACGTGGAATGTGAGGATTTTGCTCTTGTAGGGGTATGGGGTGATTAGATTTGGCTGCTACATTTGGTACCAGAACAGTGCCATCTCTTATCATTACAATCAACCTAGCCGACAGCTCCCCCTCATCCCCTCACCCCCTGCCTGCTGCCCCATCAAATACAGTGATACTAATCCTTTGGAGGGATTTCGCGATTGATATTTATTTGTTCAGTAATGCTTTAGAATGCTAAGAGATTTGTACAACTTGTTGAGGCTAATGGTTTATATCCAGCCCCAAATGTGGTGACATCATACACTGGAACCTCATTCAGTTTCACAAAGGATACAAAATGGATGAACCTTAAGACATTATGCTAAGTGAAATAACCCAGACACAAAAGGGGCAGATATCATGATTTTACTTATCTGAAGTACCCAGAGCCAGGCACGGTGGTTCACACCTTTAATCTCAGCATTCTGGAAGCTAACATGGGGGGATTCCAAGTCAGAGGTTACCTTAAGTTATATAGCAAGACTCTACCCTCAAAGTAAAATAAAATAAGTTTAATATGTTTCATATTTTAAACTCATTGGAACAACAGAATGGTGGTTACCAAAAGCTGAGAATCAAGGAATGATTGTTTAATGGTTGCAGTTTCTCTTGGGACAGTTAAAAGTTCCAGAAATGGCTGATGGTGACAGTTACACAGACATGTGCCTGTACCTGATGCTGTTGAGTTGTCCTTGTAGAAATGGGTTATGATGGCAGGTGATAAGTTATCTATATTTTACTATAGCAAAAAGAATTCTCCTGTCCCCAAGACTCTAAGACTAAGAATTAGTCACACCAGACAGTATTCTCAAAATTCTCAAAATATTGGGGTGTTAGCATAAAAAAAACCAAGCTGTTTGTTGAGGGCATTTCTTTTAGGCAGTCCTAAGGATTGCAGAACCAGGCCATCAGGGAAAGGGACAAGAAACAGACAAGGACTTTGCTGCTGAGCCACCACACCAACCTCCCAGTGTCTTATTTAGGCTTGAGCATCTTCTACATGTCTTTGTGGGAATGTGAGATGGGATATTCAGATATCTCTTGTGATGATGATGATGATGATGATGATGATGATGATGATGATGATGATGATCATGGCTGGGTCTTTGATAGTTATAGGGCAAGAGTTCATTTCTGGATGCAGAGCAGGCTGCCTGATGGCTGGTGACTTGTCTTAAGCAGGAACGATGTCTGCATAGTCCTCTCACTCCCGGCGTTGAGCTGAGTACCTTGCAGAGCATGTGATAATTGTGTGCAGAGTGGATGGGCTCCTAGGCCTCCCTGTCCCACTCTTACCTCGACGGTGTTCTCAGCATGCTTCCATTCACCATGGAATCTGCCACGGGCAAACTCCCTGCTCCATGCTAACAGGAGAACATTAGATAACACCTTTTCCTCACTTAAAGAAGCTAATGTCAGCATGTAACTAGAGAGCTGACACTGGGTGGATGGCTCCTGGGGGTTGGAAAAAGCCAGGAGTAGATTTTTTACCTGGGACTGCTTGTTCAGCCACCCGCTTCAGTCAATGCTGCCTCTGACTGAAGGCTGAAGGGTGACAGCTCTCCTGACAGTGAGAGTGAGGCTCTGCCAGGTTGCCTGAGTACCCTAATCTCTTCGTGGACATGTGAGACAGTTCTCATTTTGAGCAGGAAGCAGAGGGCAGTGGTAGCACATTGCCATTGCCTAGCCACGCTGAGGCCTTTTCAGAAAGTCACGACCAGTTATTTCCAGGGTCCCTGGGTACTCAAGTACACAGTAGATATTGTTTCTCCAGTGAGAGTTAGAGGTAAACAAATAGATGGCATTTCTTCCCAGTAGAAGGCAGCCAGGATGATGAATGGTGGAATCAGGAATCATTGCTATTATTTATGAAGCTGGTGCACAGCTACTGCAGCAATCTGTAGCGATCATGACTTTGCAGCTTATATATAGTCAGAGAAGAAACGGCAGAAAGAGCAGGGAGCTGAATAACTTCAGGAAACGAAAGAACAAACTTTCCTTCAACTTCAAGGCATGAATTAGACCCTGGGTGATCATTTCTTTCCTGGCTTCGCAGCCTGTAATTAGCCATGAAGGAACCTATATTCCCTCCACATTCCTCCTCAGAAACGAATCTGTTTATTGTTTGTTTTGGAATATTTGTAAACATATCACATGCACATGGCTCTTTAGAAAGAATGGATTTATCCTGCACTTAATTTTTTTTTAAGTTTTAAGTTCATGTATAGATGGTTTCATTTAACTCTGAAGAGTCTGTCTTTTTTTGTAAATAATCTCCCACACCCAGCTTTGAACCCAAGAAAATGCTAGCACGGACAGAAGGCAAGATGCGTCCCTGCAGCATAGCTGAAATGGGGTGAATTGTATCCCTGGGAACGGCAGTGTACTGGCCTCCCAGCCTCCCCTGATGTATCTCTGGCTTGCTCTCCAAATGCTCACTCTTTTTTCTGACCTTGGCAGGTCCTTGACTTTGACACCCTTGTGGATAACATCTCCGTGGATCCTGTGACAGGCGACCTCTGGGTTGGTTGCCATCCCAATGGGATAAGAATCTTCTACTATGACTCCAAGAACCCTCCTGGCTCAGAGGTTAGTTTGCATGAGGAAGGGGACACAGGGGTTTGCTCTCACTACTGAATTTCAATTGAAAACAAAATTCTCACTTGCATGTGCAAAAAACAGAAGGCACAGGGACAGATGATCCTGGTTCTCAGAGGTCTAAAGGGCTTGTGGAGGTGTTTGGTGAGAGTCCAGGAAGGGCACGCATACTTTTTATTATTTGGTAATTTTTTTATTTTTACAAAGCTGTGAGTCTAGTATAGGGACACTAACAGGAGGTGACACAGTAACACAGAGATGTGTGTGTGTGTGTGTGTGTGTGTGTGTGTGTGTGTGTGTGTGTGTGTGTGTAGGAAATGGCTGCCAAAGTCAGAGGACGGGAATGAATATTGTGTTGGGAGTATAGCTCAGTGGAGAGCACTTACCTAGCATGTGTGATGCACTGAGATTGTCCCCTAGCATTGAAAAAAATAAAAACAAAACACACAAATGGAATAGTGTTTGAAGGAAGGTGAGCATCTTGCTGAGGATTTAACCAGGGAGAAGCCATCCAGGGGATCAAAGGCTGGGGTTGGATGTCTACCTCTGGTCCTCAGACCTCCCAGTATGCATGAAGCCACGCTGGAGAGGCCCTTCCACACAGGTCTTGGTCAGCCTAGGGGATGTGGGCCTGAAGGGCTACGTTAAGGACCTCCAGGACTGGATGGTGCCCACATCCTTATTTCAGTAATGAGTTCCTCCAACTTGGGAATTCACACTAGTTTACAGTGGTGTCACACGGCCGGGCTGTATCCATTTCCCCATATAGCTTTTGCATACCTGGCCTCAGTGCCCCAACCAGGGTATCAGTACAGCCTCTCTCAATATCTATGATGGACTGCTTCTATGACTCCTAAGAAACTCCACAGATGCTCAAGCCCCTTACATGAAGTGATGTGGTACTTACTTAACATATCCATCCTCCTGCATACTTTGGTTTTGTGTATATGTGTGAGACTGGGCACCTGTACACATGTGCACATATCTGAGGAAGCTAGAAGTCAATGTCAGCTATCTGAGACAAGGTTTCTCAATGAACCTGGAGCTTGCCAATTAGCTGGAAGCAAGCGAGGGATCTTCCTGTCTTCATCCCCCAACACTGTGATTATAAACTCAAGCCCAGCTCTTTATGTGGTGCTAGGCATCTGAACCCAAGTAGTCATGCTTACACAGCAAGTGCTCTTATCCACAGAGACAGCTCAGCCCCTCCTACATTTTTGTTTGTTTATTTGTTTTTCAAAACAGGGTTTCTCTGTGTAGCTCTGGGTGTCTAGAACCCACTCTGTAAACCAGGCTGGCCTCAAACTCACAGAGTTCGGTCTGCATCTGCCTATCTGAGTGGTGAGATTAAAGGTGTAAGTCAACACTGCCCAGCTCCTCCTGCATATTTAAATCTCTCCAGATAACTTGAAATACCTAACTGTAAATGCTAAAATAGTTGTACTGATTTCTTTAAGGGAGAGTGACAGAAAAGGAAAGTTTATACTTGATATATATATCTGTGTATTACACACACACACACACACACACACACACACACTAAACAACCTCACCCTATATATTTTTATTGAAAGAAGTCTAATATGAATGGCTCCTGATCCTCTCATCTCCAAATTTACAGGGAATTATGGCCATGTTTATTGTTACTCTTTTGTGTATTTGCTAGTTTTTCACTATTAGGCTTGCTCAACTGAATTTTAATATAATTGAAGAAATGTGTGTTGTTGGATGTTCAGTATATAAAACTGGGCAGAATGTTGTTCTAATTGTTCTTGTTAGCTCATTCGGTGAACTTGGGTCCTTTGCTTTACCAAGGATTTGTTTTGTTTTTCTGGAAAAAAATGCTTCCTTTCTAATAATGAATTTGTTAAGGGGAATAGAATAATATTTTGAATGCACTATCTAATGCACTGCCTATAGATCTAGTTCTTATGACTATGAGGCTTATGAAACTGAGGTGGACCCTTAACTATATTTTGTAAGTAATGGGTTAACATTACAGCACATTCTTAAGACATGTATCTGTGTAGCTAATGTATTAGAAGTCATTTGAACCTTCCCATTGGTCTTTAATGCCAGACCATGGCTTTGCTAGCCTGCCACAGTGAGTGTTCTGTGATATAGGTTTCTTTTCTTCAAATCACAATATTTTATCATTGTCAAAGAGAATTTAGAAGTAATTTGGTCTCACCCATCTAACTTCAATAAAGATACAAATGGGAAATGAAAGACACAAGACTTAATCCATGTCCCTGCCTCAGGAAGACACCCTCCATATTATATTTTATTATATAAAATTGTTTTGTTACCCAAAAGGACTAAGCACTAGTTATGCCATATGGTGAATTTAACATGAATTGAAATGCATAGTCAAATATGATGTAATTAAATTTCTCAGTTAAGTGAAGGAAATTAAACTTAAAAAAAACTTTTCTACGTAGCAGTAGGACTTTAAACTCAAAAGCGCGGGTAGGTATGCTACAGAGAGTTAGCTTCTTGGGTCATGCTTTCAATTTTCTTTGGGTACATTATAAAACCAGACATTTTGGGGGATAGTGGTGCATACACATTTGTAATCTCAGCACTCAAGAGTCTGAGGCAGGAGAGTGCAACTTCAAAGCCAGCCTCAGATAAGTACAAAGACTGTCTCATAGGTAATCAACAAACAGGCCAATCAAATTACAACTACCTGCTCACCCCCAAAGTTCTTACTTTATCTGAAAATACACAAAACAGACATAAATGCCAGTCAGGCAACTATGTACCTACTGCTCACTCCCCCTCCCCCTTTTTACTGTGTTCCCTACTGTGCCCTAATGCCTCATATCCTCATATTGTTCATTTATATGTCCTACCTTACTTGTGTATGTTCATATGCTCGATACTGTTGCTGAAGTTCATGTAATCAAAACTTGACCAATTACAGATGAGGAAACAGCTATATTAAAATAATTTTATGACAGAACACAACTGATATAATTATATGAGATAATGTGGCTGAGGGAGAAAGAACTTCAAGTTTAAATTTGATTTAAATGACTTAACAAAAATATTAATTAACCTCATGTTATTTTTTTTTGAATAGGTGCTTCGAATCCAGAACATTCTATCAGAAGAGCCCAAAGTAACTGTTGTTTATGCTGAAAATGGCACCGTGTTGCAAGGGAGTACAGTTGCCTCTGTGTACAAAGGAAAACTGCTGATAGGGACTGTGTTCCACAGAGCTCTTTACTGTGATCTGTGACACAAACACACCTTGTCCTGGAAAATGAGCCCATTATTTCAATCCTTTTCCATACTGAAGGTGACTATCACAGTGCTCTCTGCTGACCCATGCATGTTGACATTAAACTTAGACATAAGAAGGTATGAGAGTGTTCACTGGGGACAGAAATGAACAGCAAGATTCCTTTAGTTAGTCTTGGACTACTTGAAGACTTCATTTACCAATAAAAATTCTCTTTCACCAAAATGGCTAAATTTGTCATGTCTACATAATGTGTTATGATTTGAATATGAGCTGTTCCTATAGGCCTGTATGTTGTATGTTTGGTGCTCAGCTGGGGGCGGTATTTTTGGAGGAGGTGGGAACTTTAGAAGGAAGGACCCCACTTATGGAAGTATATCACTGGGATGAATGTGTTCACAGAGTACACCTGGACAGCTCTGCTCCCTTCTGCTTCCTGTTGGTTGTGAGGTGAGCTCCTAGCAGATTCTGGAGCTAAGTTGCTGGGACAGACAGAGGAGTTGCTGTATTATTGCAGGCCATCAGACAGAGGAGTCAGATGTGGACCAAGCTCTCCCAAACAAGCTCTCTTTTTAGTTATACCAGGCTGTCTGTCATGGCATTGGGAAAAATCAGTAATATCTTATATGTAACTCCAAACATACTTTCCCTGTAACAAACACAATCCCTGAAAGCGTGTGAGTATACTTCTGCCTCACTGTTCTTCCGTAAGAAAACCAGAGAGTACAGTCTGGAGACTCTTAGGTCACTTAGGGACTCTAAGTGTCATCATAAAGACAACTCTCAACACCTCATGGAGCCAATGGATGGAACAGTATTGCCAGGTTCCTGGTTTTCACCTTCTCTCTGTAACTTCCTCCGGAAATAGGAACTGCAGTTACTCTCTCCTTTTTCACTGGAATTTCCCATTTTCCCAGTGAAACATGATTTCTGTTGTCTTGACACATTATAATTTCTGTTTATATCGTCCTGAAGAAGGAATTTGTTTCTTTTGTCATGACTCCATTGGGGAGTGGTCTGTAAGCAATTCCATGCAGGGTTCTGAGTGCCCTCAGGTTCAGCTGGTGCCAGTGATGGCTTTGTTTTCTTGTTTGTTGTTTGCTTGACTTTACCTACTCTAACTTACTGTGGAGACAGAAAGGAGATAAAGAATGATAAACAAACTTAAAAAAAAACAGAAAGACGAACAACTTTTGGCTATTTTCTCTGAGACAAGACTAAGAAGAAATATCACTTTTCTTATGCTGGTTATGAAGCAAAAGATCATAATATATTATTGTCTCTTCAGAAGAGACAACCTCAGGGGAGGGAGAGGGAGCTAGGATTGACATGTGAAGCAAACTTGTTTCTAATTTAAATTAAAAAATAAATAAAAGAAGAGAGAACCTCAGTGCTGGATTATTTATGTGGGACATTAAGGCAGCCACTTTAGAGATTAAATATTTCTAAGGTAATAGTTACCACAGTTATCTGGCACTTGGCTTTTTTTATGGGCGTTGTTGGTTTACTTTTTTGGGGGGGGTTTATGAGAAACTGAAAATTGTCATTTAAGACCACAGATTGGAAGTATAAAACAAAAACAGTTTTTGGAAAAAGGCTTCACGATGTATGCTTGTAACTCTAGACTTAGGAGGCTGAGGCAGTGAGATCATGAATCCCAGGCCAACTTAGGCTATGAAGTAAGATCTCATCTCAAGGAAACAAAAATAATAACAAAAGAAACTTATTTTCAATAAATGTGGATCTTAAGAAAGTGAACTGAAAGTGAACCGCATATGCTTCTTAAAAAAAGTTTTGACTAGCTAGCCTTCATCACATCTTCAGTAAAAATGACCATATCCTCTTTCTTTCTACTGGTGAAAACTGATTCTTGAAAGGGACAGAGACAGACAGATGGACTGATGGACGGACAGAGGGAGGGTGGAAGGGGGGAGAGAGAGAGAGAGAGAGAGAGAGAGAGAGAGAGAGAGAGAGAGAGAGAGAGAGAGAGAGAGAGAGAACTAAAAAATGAAGCTATATGAAGCTATCCAATTTCCCATGGCGTGCATTCAAGATTGGCCAAAGAAGGGGAGACTTAGGTGAGGGATTTCAGCATGCATTCTGTAAGGGGCAAACAGGTTTACTTCATTCCCTCTGGGAGGCTGAGCCAGAATGCAGTGGATAGTCTTCATTTGGTTTATCCAAGCTCTTAGTCTTTGAGACCTTAGAATGAAAATGGCTTAAAATAACCCGGTGCACTAGGCCAGACCTGCTTCCTCTCAGCTCGCCTCTTGTTGTGTGAGACTGACTGCTTAATGGATGTGTCATCCACCTTTCTCTGGCTGATGGGTATTGGAAACTTGATGGTGAGGCAGTGACAGAAGACAAGGGAAGAGGTGGACAAGGGGCTCCAGCTGGAGGCCCTGCTCTTTAACTTTACGCCCAGTTCCATAATTGGGCTTTCAAGTGTAATTCTAGCTGCCAATTTACACTTTGCCAGAGTTAAAACTTATTTTTAGATTCATTTCCATGAAAAATGTGCACTTTGCTCTTGATGGATAGATATGTTTTGACAGTTAATGCAGGTTTGCCCAGTCAGGGCTTGTTTTAGTTGAAGGTGGAATTGGAAGAGGGGAAAAAAGGAACATATACTCTGTCAGGTCACTGTATTTCCTTTTATTGCATTCATTATCTAACAACAATAATACTCATTGGCAAGAAATTTATTTACACAACAAATTAAATTTGATCACAGGTATTTTTAGATGGTCAGAAAACAATGGGCCACTTATGGTATAGTTTGCTTTGAATGCATCTGAAAACCAAAGAGTAAGGAATGCCATTTGAAAGAGCAGACACTGATCAAGTACCAGAGAAAAGATCAGATGTGGCATTATTGTCTCCTCCATGCAAATAATCAGACAGCAAAATGTACAAATTAAAAGTTTCAGGTGATGCGCTACCCATACTTACCAAGTTAAATGATTTTCAATCACTTTCCCTTAGCAATATATAAAGAAAGATGGAAACAAATCCAGTCTTACAGTAGAACAGAAGTTTATTCTCCTTCTGGTTTTCAGCTGCCCAGTCTAGCCAGTGATATATAGCAGATGTATAAGTGGCTTCATCAAAACACCATTGAAAAAATACAAAGGCAGTAGTTATGACAATAAATAATACCGAGTGTATACCTATGGATGCTTAGAGGTTTTATTAATTACTGATTGAACCTGATGTTGCTGGGAGGTGTTATCTAGCTTGAGAACCACTTCCTGTTCTTCTTGTAAAGGTAATTTAAGGTACTTCTGGCCAATTGCTCTCTCAAGAATGGATGCCCAAATCCTTAACAAGAAACTTGTGGGTGTCCACAAAACAGTTGGAGAAACGGATGTACACTCCTCCCAACAACATATGCTCATAACCCATTGTGTTATATTTGATGGCAACCCAAAATGCCATTGCAAGCTGATGGCATACGAAGTAAATAGTGGTCACATGACAGAAATACTGCCACCAGAGAGCCAGTAGTTAGTGACATAAGCATCATGGTTACTGAACATCTCAATTTAGAGAAGAGAGTTGATACACAAGAACACACAGTGCAATTTTTAGTCAAGAAAACTGCGATGTGCACTTGAAAATGCCCAAAGCTGCATAATATGTCCTGATTTCTAACTAAAAAAGTGCAATCTTGACATCAAAGCATTAATCAAACATTTGAGGAAAATTTATCTTACTAAAATACAATACCAAAGATCTAATAAATCAATTTTACCAAAATATATAAACATTTAGAAGCATAAGTGCATTTAGTAGGATACTTACATTAAAAAAATCTCTTAAAATCTATGAGCCATTCAATGTATACACAACACAAAAAGTGGCAATAAGGCTATGATTACAGCCCAGGGTCCTAACTAACATCACTGTAGTCCATGTAGAGTATATTTTTATGCCACGTGCTGATGGTATATGTGTGTGTAAGGTTGGGGATATAGCCACACACAGTTCTGACACCTACAGAAGTGGCATGCACATGACTGAGAATTTGTGACTTGTTCTTTCTTATGTCTTGCACATTGCTGGATCCCTAGTGGTCTAGGAGTGGATAGGGTCGAGGGCTGGGAAGCATGGAGCTTCTTCTGCCCGTACTCTGAGGATACAGAGAAAGGCCCAGGTGCTCACAGATTTGAGGCTTGAGTAATAACCCTTCTCTACAATCCCACACAGACACCCCTGCACAAACAGGGGAGGACCCCAGGCCTCCCGTGAATGGAACTGCTGGCACTTCACAAGGGGCAGTTTATTATGTAGGTTTTTCATTTCCCCTCTAACTGCTCAATCCAGTGTCTTCAATGCTACTCCTCAAGTTATTAAAATGTGTTTTCTCTCTTGTTATGTTTTCCCCAATGTTTTGGATCAAGACTCAATTTCATGGAACCTTAACAAAATCAGTCAGCACTTTCAGTCTGACTTTTAGGACAAAATCAGTGAAACAGATTTCCTGCAATGCTGTTTTCTTCTGGGTCTACACCTTTGTCCTATGACAATCCGGACAACTCTGGAAGAAAAGATGATGCTTTACTCTTGGACCTCACCTTCACCAGCTCACCTTTAGAACTGGACACAGATAGAGCCCTGACTCAAAGTAAATAGGAAAACACATGAAAGCTAGTTCTGTCATTTCCTAACTATCCTTTCCTTCAGGAAGTGCCTTAGTGTGGAAACAAGCGACATGAACCCTACTGATGCCTCTCCCCTAAAATGAGATGTTCCTTATCACCAGCACTGTTACTCCAATGGTAATTCTTAAACATCTCAGTGTATGAAAGGGAAATACAAATCCAATGTATAGATTCTTTGAGAATCATTTGCCCTTCATCCTCCAGAATCGCTTTAAACACCCTTGTTAAGAGTTGATGGTCTTCCACAAATATATCTAACCTTCCATGTTTATAAGAGCAAAGCTGTATGAATGCAGTTTGTTTACTTCTTGCACAATTGTCGGGCACAAGTTAATACTATTGGACAAAGATACTAGATGAGAATTCTTCATCTCTAGCACAATCCAAAGGGGCCCAGGTGCTAAATAAATCTGAGTTGTGGGCATTCTTGCAGCCCAGGCCTGAGCTATTGAGGATCTTAGAGTAAATACTGTCTAGCATGGAGAGTGGCAGTAGTCTCCACTTCTCCTCTGCCACTTCATTTCCTCAAACAAAGCAACTCAAGGTAGGTGTGGTCATTTTGCGCCTGGGTTTGGCATTAGTGCCTATCATACTGCAATCATAAACCACTGTGATATTTTAAAAGTCTACATTAAGTGGGAAGTGGGAAGTTCATGTCAACTCCAGTCACAGGATGACAGATCACTCTAGAAGAGCTTTGCTGTCATGGTAGTAAAGCAGGCTTCATCAGAGCACTCAAGTGGATACAGCATGTTTTCCATGCTAACAGAACTCGTCTGATTCTGAGGAGGAAGGAGAAATGATTGCAGAGGTGTGAGTCACTTTAAAGGAGATGGTCTTAAGTGCAGTAATCCATTACAAAGTCCTTTAGTGGAACCCCGACCCAGATTCTACTCCTATAGTGCTCTCCACCTATGTCAGGGCCTCACCATGTAACCCCATGCTCAAACATCATCTGTACCCCCAAAACACCTGTGGTGACTGATGGAGTACATTGAAGACTTCACTGGAATACAGTTACTGGTAAGCAGACATGTTCATTTGTTAACTTAAAACCTTCCGAAATCATCAACATCCACAAAGTGACAATTCTCTGTTAAATTGTATAAACCCTGAAAACTACAGTATTAAAAAAGGAATTGTGCAAGACATTGGAAACTCAATTGTTACCATGCACCACAGTCAATAGAGGAACTAAGAGGAACACAGATTGCTCACAAGGTCTGAGGTCCTTCACTTTGTTTTCATACTGGATCAACCAGCTTATGTTTTATCCATTGCTGAGCAATACAATCAAGAGCCTTTTACAATGTTACCAGTTTTAAGTAGCAATGTTAAAATAACTCATTTTGGTTTAAGATTGTGATAACTTAACTTAGAAATCAAAATGGCCAAAATATAAGCTAAATGATGAAATGAGAATGAATTTGATTTGTAACTGTCAGATAGACGCTGATCCAAGCATTGAAGTGTTAATAAAGTTGCAATAAGAACACTGTATTTAAGAAATGCAATCTAATAGATCATAAGTTACAGGCAGAGACAGACTTATAGACATTTCCAATATATACATTCATTTCCAAATACCATCAAAGTGTAAACACAACTTAAAATGATCATCCTTCTGTCCTCACTCTTATAAATGAACACAAAGAAGCTTCCAGTGCAATCCAGGTTCGTTTTGCTCTCCCCAAGAAAAGAAAAAGCTAAAATTTACAATAGCAAGCAGCATTAGTATTGCCTGGTTTTTGCTAGTCTTCTGGTATCTGTAGTGCAGTAATGTGTCTCTTGGTTTCCCAAAGTTGGCAAAGCATCAGACATCTGAAGACACGAACAGCCACCAGCATCCTACTCAAGCAAGAACCACGGAGCAGGTCTGGTAACTTCAGTGCACCAGGCTACGCCCATGTTGTGTTTAAGACTGAAGAGTCTATTCTGGAAGGACCGAAACTTAACAGAAGTGCTCTGGGCCAGAAAAGGAAGCAGGCCCTGGGAGAGAGAACCAGGTTAAATTTCTAGTTCCGATAATTTTGGAATTCATATGTCTCAAAACTAACAATAAAAATGAAAAGTCACAATGTTACAATACAAGGTGAGGCCACACAAGCAGCGGACCCCTATCCTCGCAGACACCTGTCATACTTCCCAGCCTGATGCAGGCTCTGCAGACCTGTGCATCCAGAGGAGGTATGCCCAGGGCTGTGGACAGAAGGGCTTGATGGAGTAAAGGAAGCAAAATATTTGCACAAGAATACATCTGGCCTCCAGTTCTACTTTGAAATTTGTCATGTTAAGTAGATGATAGCAGTTTTTTACAGTCAATGCAGCAATGAGAATTAGATACATAAACAAAAGGAGCGAAACTAAAGGCAAGCAAACAAATAAAAATCCTCAGGATTTGAAATGTTTCGAGATGGGTTTATTTTTCTCCTCCTGCCCCCCGTCTCCTGCAGTCAGCTCAGGTTGGTGAAATACTAGAATCCTTAATACTGGCCTTAATCACAAGATCGTACACTGCTAAAACCCTCCCCATGTCTTAAATACACCTGGAGATCTCTATAATATGGAAGAGAATTGCTAAGAAAAGTCATTCAAAATGTCTCTAAAATGTACCTGACAGCTGCCCTTCACAGGAAAGAATTGTGTGTGCTCAAAAGAAGAAAAGTTTTCTGGTTGACTGTTACTCAAATCTCAATCTCCAACCCGTATTTCTAGTTTTAAGTTCTTAAAAGTACATTTGTTAAAACACTAACTGAGCCCACATGGGAAATTCTGAGTAGAAAATATGTGACAAGTTCCTGATTGTGTCACAGACGGGCTGAAGACCAGCCAGCACGTGTCCCAGGAGAGGAAACCTGAAAATGTTGTTTCCTTAAAATCAATTTCCTGTCCGATTCGTTGGGAGGGAGGGGCTGTATTGTGTTTGTCAGTGCTGTTGAAACCCTGGGCTCGTGTTGCTGGCAAACCAAACAGCAGACCTTAACACCCATGGCTGCTCTATGCTCTGACTTCCTCTTCTTTGTTCAGCAATGCATGGAGGGAAATGGTGCCGCCTACCCTGAGTCCCTTAGTACACCCAAGTGTGTGCTTCTAGAGTTAACAAATAACTACTGTTTCTCTCTCTGACTCCCAGCAAGTGGAGCAACACGCTTGTTCCTTCTCTCATCTGCTAATTATATGCTGGGCACCCACATTCCCATAAGAGGACTGACTTGCTGTACAGCCAGAATTGAGGGGAGCCTTTCCTACCCACTGTACTAGAATCTGCAACCCAGGAGATAGTGCAGCTCCCTCTGCACACAAACACCCACAATTACTATCTCAGTTTCAGGGGCTCTTAGTGAAAATTTCAGGTATTCTACCCACAACACCAGAGTGAGTCCTGCTCTCATTGGCTGGGTCAGGCTGGTTTTCCAAGTGGCACCATACAGTCAACACAGCACAGGATGTCATTAAGTAGAAGATAAAAATGGTATTTCTGGTATGTTAATAAACCAAAGGTGGCTTGGGGTTATTTCAGGAGGTTAAAATTAAGAGTGCATCCAACACACAGTTCTTTAAACCGCCTACAGTGGCATTATCCCCATCAGTTTCTTCTTAATCCTCTGCAGGGGAAGGGGGGCAGGAAGGGGCGGGACTTCCCTCAAGCTTCCCCCCTACTGGAGGTGGCTAGGGATTACTGCTCACTGCTGCTTTCTTTTGTGGAAGTCATCTTCTCTGACTTTTTGGACTTCCTCTGCATTTGCTCTTGCTCCCTCCTCCTTAGTTTTTCTCTTTGTTTTTCCATTTTCTCTTGGGCCTTCCGAGCCTTCTCTAGAGACATCTTCATTTCCTTCAGTTTTTTTTTAACCAGTGCTCGGTCCTGGGATGATGTCATTCCAAGAGCCTACAAAGGAAACACATGTACAAACTGACTCTCAAAAGCTGCTGGCCTCTTTGCTTATGATGAGAAAAACATCACACTATGTTTAATCTTATGACCTTAGTTAAACATAGACGGAGGAGGTCAGGGCTGAGGAAAAGCAGACTACACTTGCTAAATTCTGTATGCATGGAGGATCTGTGCTTTGTTCTTTGAAAACTACACCCCAGAAGTCATTAAGAAAATGCTTTCCAAATTGGTGACTAATGAGCGAATAAATAAAAAGGGCATGATCCTGCTTCTTCAACCTTCTGCTAACGTATTGTTAAACTCATCAATATCTTCAAAGGGTAGCAGAGAGCACCTGCTGTCACAGAAGGCTCCAAGAAGGGCAGGGGGAAGTGAAATGGCCTCTTTGTTGCCAATGTACTTATTTACACTGAGAACCAAAAATGTCTTTGGGACGAGGGTGCCCACGTCAGCATCTCTCTAGCCATTGTCTCCCCAAAGGTAGACCTATAAAGGAAGCCCGATTATAATGATGAGGTTGCTGGATGAGCTTAGAATTCAGAATCAGGGGAGATGATTGTGTACTTTAAATGTTCCATGACCTTCAGCATCAACAGCAGGATGCATCCGTCTCCCCAACAGGGACAGCCTTGTCGATGGGGCCTTCATATTCACAAGCTATTGATTGATCTCTAACCTTTTCAAAGACTGTCAAGAGACACTCATCTATCCATCAGCCTCACAGGGGCCTGAGTCGTAGGGAGGGAGGTGTGGAACTGGCTTTGCCCTCCTCTTGCCCTTTCTCCATAGGGTTGGGCACCACCTCAGTGTCTAAGAGAGATGGGCTGGATGCGGGGAAATGACAGGGCAATGGAGGTGACAGGGAGGGATGGCTTGCTTATATCTCTGGGAGAAAACTGGGGATGTCATTTCAGTTTTCAAGTAGTGGGTAGGAGAGGGAGCATGGAGGAGGAACTAAGAAAGAAAGATTCACACTGGCCATTATTAAAATTTAACAGTACAGTGGGAAGTGAGTGGTATTAATATAGTGGTCATGTGTTGCCAGGGGAAGCAAAAGAAAGGGTCCCCAACTCTCTTGATCAGCAGTCTATCCTGAGTCAGAACCCTGATGAACTTCTGAAGCTTCATTTCCCACTGAGAAATGACTCAGTATCTTTTCTGCTGGGTATTGACAAAAATTACCACATGGATCATGCAGGGACACTCTCAGCTGATGAAAACATGTCAGATGCTACAAGTAAAACCTGTAACTGGCAACCTAACACAGACACATAATTCTTTACCTTCAGTTTATTTCCATCCAGCTGCAGGAGCTGCTCCCCAGTGATGCTCTGTGCACTGAATTCAGACACATACTGGTCCAGATTTAGGCTCATTAACCAGTGAGAGACCTGTGGCACACTCCACTCATGAACAGCCCGATTCAGACTCTGACTGTGTTTGGGAGACTGTCCATCATCAAGGATCTGAGACAGGAATGTATGCAGTGTTGTGAAATGACTAAAACACCATGGCTCGTGTTACACTACCAAGGGAATTTCTCAAGCTACAAGAGTCATATTTACTTCTAAATCATAAAATGATAATAGTTATACTTATGCTAAGAAGAAGCATGTCTATTACCTAGTGAATCTGGTAGAAGGAAAATTAAAAATAACCCATAAAGTACCACTACGAAGCAAGGAAGTTAAAAATTGAGAAAATACACATTAACACTGTTGATTTTATATTACATTACTATGGAGATATTATCAGAGGTAGAAAATACATATTTCATAGATGTCTATATTCAATATATCACTTTAGATTTATCCTTTTAGAAGACACTAAAGTTACATTAAAAAACACATTAAAAATACTGTCTCCTTCACTTTATAGAAAAAGGTCTTAAAGTTCTCAAGCCTTCATAGAGAAATTTCACAGCCATGAGTTCATCTGAGCAGGAAGTAACGCTAACATCCACAGTTACTTTTAAGACATGAGAAACTGAGGGTCAGAGAGTGTACATGATCCCTCTTAGACACTAAGTTAGTAAGTGGCAGAGCTTACCAAGAATCTCATTGCAAATTTCAGGTTCTATTCACAATATACCTCCCCTTTATTTATGCAAGGAGGCCAGAGAGCTCCTAGAAGACTAAGCTGAGAGATTATGAAACCATGATAGAACTCAGAGGAAAGACAGGAGTTAGCCTGGTGAGCTACTTGAAGAACAGATACAAGAAAATGTAGGCTGAGGGGAAGGTAAAGGATGCAGAAAAGAATGGACCATGTCAGGTAATGGCTATGGGAGATAAATGAGGCTCTGAGGTGAACTCTCTATCTAGCAACACATCTCAAGTAAAATGTAAACAAGTGCAATCTTTTCCCTCTCCTACAGGAAAAGTGTTTTGTTGTTGTTGTTGTTGTTTGGTTTTTTGAGACAGGGTTTCTCTGTGTAGCTTTGGAGCCTGTCTTGGCACTAGCTCTGTAGACCAGGCTGGCCTTGAACTCACAGAGATCCACCTGCCTCTGACTCCTGAGTGTTGGGATTAAAAGCGTGTGCCACCACCACCCGGCCAGAGAAAGCATTCTTGTCGTGTTGGATCCTAAGTCATGTAAGGAGCAAAAAGCAGGATCAAATCAGACAAAGTATCACACACAACCCACAGATAGCTCACCTCATCATCTATCATATCCAGGCTCTGGGTGAGTAGCAACAAAAGAACCAAGAAGAAGCATGTTACAGAAATGGGACACACAACATCCACAGTGCACTCTTTATTACATCAAAATCAAGCCCAGCTAAAAAAACATGACCAGAAAAGTTTAAAAGGAAAAAAACGGAGTTTTGTTTAACAAAACTCATGTTAAGAAATAAGAACAATTATTTTATATGTAAGAGTAATCATATTTTAGTTACATTATTTCTTGCCCCCCACTCCCACCAGCTTTTAGAACTCATCAACCCCAACATATTCTGCTTCTCCCCTGCACACATACTTCCTGATAATTCTTAGCAATGTTAGACCTCACTCTAGCAGCATCTGGATAAATGGGTCTTACACGATTTTCTTTCCAGCATTGTGCCTATTGGTTGTAATGGTTCAACTGGGGGCATATGATAGTCAAGAGTACTGTCGGGAGCCTGGGGGAAGGGTAACTCTGGATACAGAGAGAGAATGGGTAATTAACAGCCTCCAAGTGATCTAAACCATTATCTAGTCTTGTTCTCCAGTGCCTGGCTTCCCTAATGTGTGCTTACATGTATAAAGGGATATCTGGGAAGCTTCAAGGGGCTCAGGAACTATACCTTTCTTTATTGTTGGAGAAGAGGGGGTGGAACCATGAAGACCTTGTGTTAAACATAAAACCTCAGTGCTGATGACTTTTATGCTAAATCTACCCTCAAATACCTTCCCATAGTGGGGTATGGAGGAAATGTGTGACATAAAAACTTAGTTCCGCCATCGTGCCACTCAAGTACCTCATCCGAGGACAGTGCCAGGGACTGGGAGAGCCCTGGGGTTTTGGGTTCTGCTCCTAAGCCGCTCAGGTCTGCAGAGCTGGTACTACTTGGACTGAAGTCATCATTGAAGGTGAAATTCTGTAAAAAAACAAATTAAAACCATGTTACGGGAACACACAGACTGAACTAGAGGCAGGCGTGCTTCCAAGTCCTGAACGGTTGCATTTCAATCAACTTTCTTTGGAAGAGACTTGACTTTGGTTTGGTGATGATGGCCTTCACTTGGGTGGTGGTACTGGATTCTGCACCTTCGGAAACTGTCTGGAAATCCTGGGCACTTTCCCCCTCTGAGGCAAGGATAGGTGTTGCAGAGAGGCCATTTTTCAGTTTCTCTCCAAGGGTAGAGATTCATTATCCTCTGTAACCGCTCAAAGGAGTGATATTAACAAAGCCCATCTGCTTTGACCCTAATTGTACTGAGCGACAGTGGAAGGAGGAGCATGAGATGCTGTGGAGGAGCTGAGCTATCAGGAACAGATGGCAACTCATAGCAGGAAGGTAGCTGGAGTGCCCCTGGGAAAGATGGCGTGTGGCTGGCTGTGATAAATGCTGTGAGAAGTGACAGGTCCCCTCCTGGATGTAGCCTTCAGAGTGATGAGTTCTGGAGGAGAGCATGGTCTGACAACACAACACTAGTTGGAATGTAAGCCAAAAAGACTGGTGTGGGATAGACCCACAAGTCTGCTAGCCTCCTGGGGTTGGGAGGTGGAAGGTGTGGGGAGGGACAGATTTCCCAAACGTCCTTTAACAAGCTCAGCAGATGTTAAAGCCACTTGACAATGACCACAGAGCCTCACTTGTAAAAACATTGTATGCTGAACCTCTCTTTAGTGTGAGATGATGCTAGAGTCACTCAAGTGAAACTTAACTCTCAGAACAACACTAAAAGGCCCAAAGGGTTGACTATGACTAAAACTTCTTTGCTACTTGTCGAATGGCTGGATTCCCAGGAACGCTAAGCAACTGCCCAACACTATCTTGTTTCATACAACACTTCTCTAAGAACTGGACTATGATCTCCACTAGTTTCCTTTGTGTTGAGACTTAGTTCCTTAATTTGAGAATAAATTGAGAATAAATATCATACTAGAGTCCATAGATTTGAGTACCAAACCAACCCCAAGATTTGATAATCTCCCCAAAAGGGGCGAGACTGGTAGAACATTCAAGCCACAAGGTATTACACACAAAACATCACTCTTGGTATCACTGGGGATGCAGTCCTCCAGGCCTTCAGTCAAAGCCCTTGGAGCTGCTGACCTCAGGGAAAGAAATACATTCAATGGGATTAATCACACAATTCTGTTTGGGAAAGAAGAGTGAACACAGAAAAAAGGAAATCAAATAACTCCAAGGTTAGTCACCATATGTGCTTCAGTAAAATATTAGATAAGGTTTGCAGTGTCATGCTGGAAATAACCATCAAGCATTTCGAAATGTATCACACCTGTGAACATAACTTCTAATTCTACTAACGGGAAAGAACTTGGTGGCAGAATTAGAACAGGTGCTCTGCACGGTCTACAAGAAGTAGATTTGATACAAAAGGTTAAGTAAGGTGCTATATGCCGGTGGTTTTTGTCTTTTGTTCTGTTTGTTTGCTTCACTTAAATGTACAGAACAGTCAGTCCCAAATTGACCTGTTTTCCAGTAAATGTTGAGAGCACAGTGAAAGGGTTTTATAATGCAATTTACAGAATACTTAGTATACATCTACAACCCTGCTTTATCATCCAAATGCCTCCTTCCCAGCATGGCTTAGCTGTCAAACTGAGATTAAATAGCAGTAAGTGAAACGACAGGCAAATTGAAGAGAAATGCACACGCTAGAAGGGAAGAGTGTTAAAGAGGGTGCCAGTTAGGTGAGGCATCTTTCCCCAAAGGAAACACCATGCATGCCTATGGCAGGGTTAGCACATTGGCTCCCGAGATCCAGGGTGTACACACAGGTGAGAAGGCCTTCCAAACATCGAAGAGGAGATAGGTTGAAGGCTTTCTTGTCAGTTTTTTAGTCCACTGTTGTCTACCTTGGACCCTGTTTTATCTGAAACTAGTGTCTCAGGAGAAGGCTGAAGGGGACTCGGAACTGAAGGCAGGTTCCTGAAGGAATAGGATCCTCTGCGGCTTTCGGTAAACCATGAGAAGGGCATGCAAGGAGAGCGAGTGGAGGCCTGAGCTGCAGGGGAAGGCTTGGCTTTCCAGTTTTCCAGCTTGCTTCTGAAGACCCTGCGGTGTGGGAAGAATGGCCATGTTAGACAAAGAGATGGCAGAAGACATACTGAACCCAATTCCAAAGAGACACTTAGATAAGTAAAGCTCTAATAAACTGTTCTATTTAGGAGAGTAAAAATGTAACATCTCGGGCAATAGCATTAACTTTAATAGTTACCTTTTTTACATTTAAATGGAATCTACGATAACACATTGTTTTGAACTGCTATTTCCATGGCAAAATTGGACTAAATGTGCCTTTGTAAGTATACATGGATGCATTAAAATCAGAGTGGCCCAGCCATTGAGACACTGCTCATAGGACAGCCATCAAGAAAATGATACTCGCTCATAACCAGCCTTCTTCCTACCTCCCTCTGGATCCATGCTCCCATCATCCATGGCTGAAAGACTGGATGGTTTGGAAATTTCAGAGCATGTGTTATGTTAAGCAGAACGTGCAGCTTACTGGTTTCTCATCATAGGCTCAGTGTCATTTCACAGGAGGAGCAGAGAGCCTGATGTCTTCATGGGCCACTTACAAGCCGAGGGTCTGCCACCTCCTGAGCGTGTAGCCTCAGGCCTTCTCTGTCCCTCTGTCCTAATCTGTACAAAGTGAATATGCTGATGCATCTCATATTGACTGCTATGAATTAAATAGATTAACACTTGTTAAAGAGCCATTAAAGCATAAAAGTTCATGTTTAGAAATATTTAAAGAGTCAAGGGCAGTTGAGAAAGACAGTTTTCCTCTTTTAAACTTAATGTAAGTACTTTCATATTTGTATTTGTCTACTGGTCAAGTGAAAATACTTGTGTGCATTTGGAAGCGGTGAACGCCAGTATCATTGGACAAATGAACTGGATGGCAGCCAGCTCTTCGTAGCTGTTGATATTATGACAACAGCCTGAGACCCCTTCAGTTGAAAATGCCTGGGTACCATAGACTCAGATACTTTCTAATCCTCATTTATGTTGAACCCCAGTCTCCTTACACCTCACTCCAAGCACACATTGAAATATAATTCAAATTGATATAAACAGCACCAAGTCTGAAAACTTCTGGCTTGTTTCCAAATAGAATACAAGAACCAAATGCAGCAATCTTCATCCAAACACCTTGGAGACTGCAGGCGAAATACAGATGCAAAAAGTTGTAAGAAAAGCTAACGAGAGCAGAAGCCTGTGTGAAGTTTTGGTAAAACTGAAAGAGCAGGATGGGTGAATAAAATTCATGGTCACATAAAAGAATCCAGAAGATGTGATCATGGTATAGTGTCTTTAAAATGTGGTTTGGGAGAGTGGGGTGTCTTCAGGGATAACAACAATCAAGGAGAGACAGGTCTACCTTGAACTTCATCTTAAAGCTTTAATGAAATGGGAAATTTTGTACTCTTAATCTAGTTACTTATTATCACAAGACAGAAGAGTACAATAACTGAGCCAAAGCACATTCGCAGGGGCCGTGACTCTCAATGGGGCACTTTTTCTTTGCCATGGACCAAGTAAAGATTCACTACTCAGAAACAAGTATGAAGGGAAGCTGACCTGGAATCGGTATTTTAACACTGGTCTAAGCTGACTCTAAGTAGCTCCGACTTCTGTTATTATAATTATCCCGAATGTAAATAAATTGCAAGTCATTATAGAACAGAGTACAACAGAGACACCTTGTAAAGAATGGCTTCCTGGTTCTACAGACTTCACTTTGCTCCTACAGCTTCTGGCACCTTGAGTCCCTGAAGTCATCATACCCTCAGTCTACACTGAGGTGAAGGGTTCTGGAAACATCAGTCTAGATGGCAATAAAGCAAATAGACAGCTGCCCTGTCACTCCTCTGGGAAATGGGGAGAAATTTTATCTTCCTAAGGCAAAAAATCCCAGTTAGAATGTAAATAAACACTAAAAAATACTTCTAGGAGGGAGATAGGATTAGAGACTCCAGTTTTAGTGCAGGGATTGACTCTGGAGTTTCATCATTCTGTTTGGTCCCCTTCCCACTAAAATGTGACCTTGTACTCTCTGGAGACAAACACTTTGGGCTCTCATCATCTATCCACTTAACTTCTAGGGCTTGTCTTTCACTGAGTCCCTGTACTCTGGTAAAACTGACCATAATGGTTTGTTAAGAAACATAGACACATATCTGCAGTCCCACACCCTAGAGACCAGGCACGTCTAAGGAAAAGACAGTTCTGAAGGCAAGACTCCCTTCAACCTGGACAATGCTGAGTCAAGAGAACTGAGTTTGGCAGTACTTAACTTGATAGCCATTGTTTGGGAGTTGACAAGGAAGTTATGCAACTAAGGACAGCATGACAACTTCATCTTACTCCCAAATCAACTGTCTTTGTAACAATGGTCCTAGACCACCACGACTGTGAGAAGAATAGAGTAAGAATGCTGTCATTCATGAGCTTCTTCTGAAAAAAGACTTTAGGGAACCCAAACCTAGGGCAAACAATAGATGAACAAAGACCCTAGGACCCCAGGAAAATATTAAAGACTAATAGTGAGTATGATACATACAACGTTGAGAATGGGCTCCAGGCTATACTGTTCTTACAGTGGTGAAGGTCATGGAACCCCAGCCTCTGCCAGAGGCTCTCTTTCTGCAGTCTTATATACAGTAATGGAGAGTTGGGGAAAGAGTTGACCGGAAGCAATGACAACCCACTTCCAGGGTAACATCATTGTTCCACGGCTGCAAGCTGGTGGATTTTGGAGTTTTGTTTTTCTAGCTCTCCATGAGTCTGGCCGGGCCCACTGTGTCTGCCTTCTATCTCCATTTATTATTATCTGTAGCTTTAAAAATCCATGACTGTGTAACCAACCCCTGTGTGCAACCTTTATTCTCAAAGAAAAGAACTCACTTCCATTTGCTTGGACCTAGAGTAATAGAATATTTATTAAGACACCTAATGCTCTATTACTTTAGAATTGCAGATGCAACAGCCTACCAGGAAGTTTACTAAAACAAACACCAACTTCGTCCCGAATAAATAGAGCTTGAGCCTACGAAGGAGCAGGAAGGGTTTGGTAGCTGGAATTCTGTTTTGACTGCCTTCCTTCTCTCCCTTCTTTCTTCTCTCCTTCCCCCTTTTCTTTCTTCTTTACCCCTTTCATCCTCTCTCTTCTAAATCGAGATAAGTAGAATGGGTTTTTATGGATCTGAATGTGACTTCCAGAGGGCCAAAGGGGGTATGTTCTGTTTTTCCTTCACCTGTGGCGGCTCACACACCAAAGGCTTATCATTAAGGGAAAAAGAAAATCAAAGAATTCTAACTCCCTGCCATAGTAACCCTTACATGCTTTATTGTTAGAAGAAACAACTGTCATCAAATTTAACTTTCATCAGCTAACAATGTCATTGTATTAACCTTTCCTAGAGGTCAAATGGTTTATGGCTAATAATTTTTGTGCAATTAACTCATTTATATATACTTGGGAACCCATTTTTTGGCACCCTAAAAGGCAACTTTTTCAGTTAAATACCCTACAGTGATATTTGTTGTTTTAATTCAGAACTAGTAAGATATCATCAAAACATCATTTACAGTTTGCAAACTGTCAGGCAAAAAGAGCAGTAAGAACCACAGAACCATGCAGATTGTAACAGCTGTAACAGGAGGGTGTGTGCGGGGTCCCACTCACCTAAGTCAGCTCAAGTAATTCTGAAAGGATCTGAGACCCAGTGAAGAGACTGAGGTTGTGGGGCCAGACCCATCCATAGGGAACTTAGAGAGCCTGGTTGGGAGCATTAGAAATATGTCCATCTGGCATTCAGGCTCAGTCACCCTGGACATCTGCTCCCAGATCCCGAGCTCTGGCCAGAATTTCTGATCAGCGGCCAAGAGTCCATCTTAGAGTCACAGCAGACAGCTCAGCCCTAACTCCCAGGAGGGGATCAAACTATTCCCTTTCCTCTGCAGGAATTAAGCTGAAATTGCAAAAGGATCATGTAGATCTATGCTCTCAAAACAGATGTTAATTACAGGACAACAAATCCACTGCTTAAGTATTCAATAAAAGTGTGCTATCCCAAATCTGAGCAAAATGTGCCTTTTGGTTCTATTAAAATTTCTATTTTCATTAATTTTGGTGATTGGGTTTAAACCCAGAGCCTTAGGCATGCTAATCACACACTCTGTATCCGAGGTACACCCTTGAAAATTTAAATTTACTTTAATGATCTAAACCTCATTTTTCTCCCTCCCTCCCTCCATTCCAGTGATGTCTGTACACGTTCATTTGGGTGTGCATTGTGTGTGTGGAGGCCATCAGACGTCAAAAGTCTTTCTCTACCACTCTCACCTTCACTGTTTTGCAGAGGTCTCTCACGGAATGTGGAGCTCACCTTTGAACAGTCTGGGTAGCTAGGGGGCTCCAGAGGTATATCTGTCTCTCTTCCTTCACTGATGGGGCTTTAGATGTGCACTGTCAAGCCTAGCTTTTACATGTGTGTCAGGGACCTAAGCCCAGGTTCTCATGCATGCTTGACAAGTCTTTTAATAGTTGGTTGAGCCATCTCTCCAGCTCAATGAAGCTCACTTTACATTTGTGTTATTATATGTAAGGTCAACCAAACTGACCGAGTAACGAGTCCTCTTACGGTTACAGATTTAATAGAGGGTGTTTAAACGTATAAGTTTCTCTTTGTTCTGAAGCAGAGCATCAAGAACTCCCAGCTGGCTTCGAACCTGCTATGTAGCACGGGGACTGATCTGGATTTTCTGATCCCTTGCCTCCATCTCCCATGTGCTGGGATTCCAGGTATGGGGCACTGGACCACTTTAGCCGTGGGGGTGAAACTCAGGATCCCATGCACACCAGGCAAGCACTCTAATGACTGAGCACAGGACATTTTTTTAAAAACTTCATTCAGAAGTATTTTCTTGTTAGGAATGTTTTTTTTTTCTTTGAGTTTCAGATTGTGAAGCTGACCCCCTTGTAGGCTAAGTAACAAGAGGTTACTCAGAGGCTGCCCAAAGGTGAGTGCTCTTAACAGGTCAGGCCAAGCAGAAGGAGGGGTGAAATCATGCTCTGTAACCACTTCTCCCAAGCCCAGCTGGGACATGTGACATCAATAAGTCAGCTTCTCTGAGATAAACGGCATGATCAGTGATCAGCAATAACCTGATAGATAGGAAATTAAAGAATTAAAAAGGAGGCAGACTTCAATCACAATAATGGGACATCTCTGAGCTGCTTCTAATTCATCTTCGAGCACTGGCTTCCCATTGTTAGGTTAAAAACAAAACAGAAGGGGCCGTGGCTAAGTGATGAAGATGCACAAGCTTCTAAAAACCATGGCAATGTTAAAGATGACCCAATGGACCACAAAGCTAAAGGAGATGCTGATGACAGAAAATATAATTACCAGTCCCTTTCTGGACCACAGCTAAGGATGCTAAAGAGTACAGTGATTTCATTCCTTACTCTCAGTCCCACTCTGAGGTCTAGCCACACAAAGCAGCTCCTACCTGATGACGCAGTTAAACCACATAGTGTAATGGCTAAATATTTCCTCCTTGGTTGCTCTGAAAGGATGAAGTGCACCTTGTGTGCGGAGGTCCATATCACCCTTTGCAAAGGGTGCACCCTTACAAGGAACAAAGACTATGGGGTCATGCCCCAGGTTTTCCATGGCATGTCTGGGTATTCCTTCCTCTTTTATTTCTTCTCCCAGCCACTGCTGAGATCTCCCAGCACCTGCCCCCTTTTTTTCTCTAACTCCAACAAGACAGTCACTGAGATAACCACCAGGCTTGTTGTTAAATTACTTAATCAACCAGACCAAGCCCTGCAAAGGGGACTCTGCACCTCCTAGTGGCACACTCTCTGGGCCCAACCCAAGCACAAATGAGGTGTTCTCCTGTATACACTCGTGTATTTACCTCAATCTCCGTTCTGCTAAAGGGGATGTATCTATCCACTCGGCTAAGACGGCCGACCAGGTGGTTTCTTTCTGCCTTACCTAGCAGCAGGGCAAAACAGTCCTCCGTGCACTTGTCATAGGATCCAATCTCAAACTCACTGGCATGCCATAATTCATCTAGAGGTTTTGAGAGAAATACTGTCTGTGAAGGACTGCCTGCAGTATAATCTATGAGTCTCCAAACCATTTTCAAGGTATCATGGAAGCCATCCTCGGATGGACAAGCCTGCCAGCATAATACACACAGGGAGTGCTGTTTCCTTCCAAACGAACTTTCTAAACATTAGAAATGATGATGACAGCAATGTGCACTTGTTAGAGATTTAACATGTCCTGAAATATAACCCCCCCTCGGCCTTTCCAAAAGTCTGTAGATGGTTACAGGAGGACTTATCTATGACTCCACTTTTCAAATGAGAACACTGAGGCACAGATAGGTAAAACAACTTGCCTAAAATAAGTGGCATAGCTGAGTTTTGAACTTATGTTTTGAACTTTGACTTATGCCCTTGATTTTCAATTACTATGAAGTTGTTGCTGAACATGATGCAGTTTAGTACCAACTATACTTTTTTGCTTTACTTTACTTTTTTTTCCTTTGTGTAGTTTACTTCTGAAGCATTGCAAAACACATACTTTTTTTTTTTTTTTACGAGACAGGGTTTCTCTGTATTGCTTTGGAGCCCGGCCTCGAACTCACAGAGATCCGCCTGACTCTGCCTCCCGAGTGCTGGGATTAAAGGACAAAACACATACTTCTGAATGTAAACAAAGTATTTAGAGACTAAATGTAGAATATAATAAATGACTGGACAGATTAGTTACAGGCCAGCATAATAATGATTTAGAATCTAATGAACATTCATTTTTCTTGTGACCACACAGATCAGCACAATATAAGACTCATAATGTGGGTCACATGTATCAATTAAAACTTTCTAGTAACCACATGATGAGATGCAGTTACACTAATTTTGATAGTCAATGTATCTACAACTCCAAATCTAAAGTATTTAAAATACAATTAATATTATAAATACTAAGATGTTTATTATTCCTTTTCACACTAAGTTTTGGAAGGAGGTTGCGTTTTCCACTGTGGCACATCTCACCGTAGACCAGCTCAGTAACCACAGCTGACAGTGGCAGCCACAGTCGATGGAGCACAGAGAGATGGATACCAAGTTAGATGCTACGCATTTTACATATGGAAGGCCAGGTGACACATAAAGCTAAGTCGGGACCACAACCCTGCACTGCATCTCAGGTTTCTTTTCATTGTCCCTTCTTTTAAGGTAAATGCAAATTCATTTCCAAAGAGGAGTGCCATCTCCCTTCTCTGTCACTTCCCCAACATACCATCATCTACCTTTCCCTCCGTCCCTCCCTAAAGTTTGCGATGGGCTATGGCTGTTGCTGTAGTGCAGGTATGTACCTCTGAAGGGTTAACAAGCTCTGCTACCCGATGCTGCCTCTGCTTGCTCTCTCCTATGGTGCTGTGCAAAGCAGAATGGTTACTGGGCACACTAAATCATATTTCTTCTCTGGGATTATTTATTATGATCATTATCCTCATCTATTTTCTCTGTGTGTCTCCCGCTGCTCATGTATCTGAGTTATTATGTCCTCACAAGAAACACAGCAGAGTAAACTCTGTGGGTAAGAAAAAGTGACAGCCCAGACTAAATTTACTGATAGTCTTACGCTTTCAAGTCTAACAGTGCAGGTTGGAACTGACTGATGACCTCAACAGATTCTAAGGACCTAATGGGAAGGACAAAAAGCTGAAGTGATAAGATTATTAGCTCTCTCTGAGACTCTTCTGCTGCCTTTTCTGAGAAAGCGGCATGGGGTAGAGCCCATCCCACACTCTTCCTCGTGATTGCCCTGGGATGCTTCCTGCAATGGCTCAGCACTGTGATCCTGCCTGAGTGGTCCCATGGGACAACTGCATGAAGCTCCTACACAGTGGTAATTCTGCTCTTCAGGCAAGGTGCTTTTTGAGGCTCTGGGTCCATTACCAACCCATACAGGAGAACAGAAGCTCTCTGCTTAGTGTTACCAGTATCTCTTGTAGCTCAAAATTGCTTTTCGTGAAACAGAAAAGTTCTCTCTTCTCTTGTTTTTCTATTTCAATTATATAAGCCCTTTTTTCTATCCTACTAAAATTCTACTGTAATTACTAACAATCCTAAAATTACAATCCTAGCTGAAAACTGTTCTGTGGTGCTGGTAGAATTATTTGTGTTCAGTGACACAGTGGGACAAGAACTAATGTTTTACAAAGACAGAGCAGGACGGACAGCTGAGCTGTCCAGGCGTGGGTCAAAATGCCCCAACTGTGGTAACCAGAGTACAGGTGACACCGCCTCCTCCTCACTGTGGTCTTTCCTCTAGTAAAGTCAGCACCCACTAAAAACATCAAGGCAAGCTTGATTTCCACCCGAACCTCAGCCAAGCACTCTCCTTTCTGCGGCCATCTATACTTAAGCATCTCTTGGGTCAAGCCTTGAAGCAAAGAGGACAAGACTGTACTATTGGAAGATCAAAGGAGGGACAGTGGAGTTTCCCCCACTGTGGCTTTGCTCAGCTCCTGCTCTTCTGGAAGTGGCTTATTTTTTTTCCTGAGTATTGTCAATAGTGCTTAGTTTTAAGGTACAAAAACAGATATTTTTATGTTCCTTCCTTTAAAAACACAGAGTTAAATTGCTCCAGTTGCTTGTAGTCTTACATGTATTTAATTTTCTTGAGATTCCCTCTAAATATGGAGAGCATTTTACCCCTTAGCCATTGTAGAGACAGCACAAGTGAAAACCAGACTGGCAAAACTCATTAAATTTGAATTTCTCTCTCCTCACTCCCAAGACAATGAGATAGCAGGGCACAATCTATGAAGAGGAAAAGTGATTCCCAGCTGATTTTACAGTCAGTTAGGATTTGTGTTTCCTTCCTGCTCTATGACACCAAAAGAACACTAAGATTTTGTAAAGATGTGTAGTCACTATTGGATGTTTTGGCAACCAGAGTTGGCACACTGTGTTGAAGAGGCATCTAGACAGTAGGCACACACTCCATCTTGGTCCTCATTGACTTATGTATAATTTGGGGAAAATGGGCCAAATTTAATGAAGGTGCAATTCTTCATCAACACAGGACGGCACTACAAGCTGTATCTTATTAAAAGGATTAAATGAAGTTGGTAAATATATTAATAAGTAATAACAGCAAGCTGTCATCAATAATATTATTTTTGAATACCACCTATGTACTGGATACATGTAAAACATTTACAATGCTTCATATGCACCCTTGTTTAATGTTCACACTAGCCTTGTAAGAACTATTATCACACTCATTTCATACGAGAAAACAGAGGCAGAGGTGACTGAACAACTTGTCCAGGATTTAGCACCAGGAACTAGGAGAATTGAGAGTCAATCCAAGACATATGGACTTCAGAGTTCTATGATTTATTGTCTCCCTACATAAATCTATGTTAAATTATATAACCTCAGAATAGGCCAAGGAAAACTTGACAACATGCTGTTCAAAACTTAGTTCTCTCTAAAAAATCTTTACTGAAAGGAAAGTATAGTCAAAAGTGCTTGCAAGTCCACTAAACAGCAGAGTCCAGCAAGAGATGGTGGTCCTTCTTACACACATATAGAATGCCAACATAGTGCCATGTGCAAAATTAACCCAGGAGATGAGGATGTGGAAAGAAGGACGGCATTCATATTGTGACTAGCCAGACCAACAGAACAGAACACAGACCACGAACCAACAAACCCAATGCAAAAATAGCAAACCTGAAATATGTCTAAAATATCCACAGATGCATTTAAATAAATACTTAATGAAATTGTTCATTTGATTATAATTTGGCAGTTAGCCACCAATGGATGTATCCAAAGCTGTATCTAAAGAGAGCCATAAACTAATGGTTCAATTTTTTTGGGATCACAACTCTGGGTTCATCCACTTGGGTTTAGAAACACTGACCACTGACCTTGGTTAGCAGTAAAAGGGGCAGAGTTAAAGAACGAAATGTATATTCTTAATTACCCACCCATACCTGCTACCTGCAGAAAACCTACTGGCTTCCTTTTCTTTTTCTCTCCATTTCTTCCCCTTGTTTGCATTCCTTCGCAAAGGTGCCCTACAATAACATCGCATGGTCAGAAAGAGAAAGATAACACAACCTTTTAATCTTCCTTTATGGAGAACTGCTTTCCCAAAAGGAGGTACTTACCCCAGATCCACAAACTTCTGCTTAATTTTTCCTCCTTGTACCACAAATGAACTGGGCATTCTTGGTGATTTAGGGCAACTGGCATCATCTAGGACATAGATACACATAGGGAAAAGATCAGTTAGCATCATACTTTAAGCCATGAATGGAAAGTCAATGTAGCTCTGAACATAAGGGCTTTGCCTGAGTTATTCAATGTACAAGAACACAATGCCTGTCCTGTCTACAGGACACAAAAACTCAGCCATGATGGGGAGCATTACAGCACAGACACGTGGGGATGAATGAAATGAGCAAGAATAAATACTTGCACTTCAAAGCAGGTGTGACTGTGACTTTGCCTGGCTCTGGCTCCAACATAGGCATTAAAGGTCTATATTCCTTCTTCCATAGCTTTCTTGGTTTGGGGTTTTCCTGCCTTCTGAAGGAACCCTGCCAAATCTCAACTCAGAAGAGAAAGCATCACCTCTTAAAGTCTGGGAGCTTCAGAAAACAACCAAGAATAAAAATTTCCCTTCTGGGGACTGGAAAGATGGCTCAGCAGTTAAGAGTACTGCCTGTTCTTCCTAAGAACCTGAGTTCAAGTTCCAGCACCCACCTGGCAGCTTACAGCTTCTGTTGTTATATATATAAATATATAAAACCCTTCTGAACTCTCTCATACTAGTGATCCATAGCCAGTTCAGGGATCAGGTAAGGCAGAACATGGGGGAACCTACTTAAGCAGAAGCCAAATATATCTTTCAAAAGCTCTTTTTAAGAGTTATTTGGAGCACAACTCTCTGGCCTACCATGACACAGAAGATGCCCAAATCTTCCAAGGGCTTGCTGTTGACTGAGTTGCACCTCCATGAATGATGCTGACACTGCTCAGCAGTGTATCAGCCATGGGGAATAGGACACCAGAAGAAAGGCTTTGAGAATGGGCTTCAGTGTGAATGTAGGGTCAGGATCTACCGACGGCATGCATCCCACCTTTGACAAGGCAGATGGAACCGCAGCAAACAGTGCTGAGAGCCACATTTCAGAATAGTCAATCATCTGGGATGACTGGCAGATTGCATTTTAAATTCCATGTGCTTGTGTGTGCAAAACTCTCTTCTTAATTGCTACTGTCTGCTCCTAGCATATTTTTTTTAATGTCTAGGGATTCTCACATTGAATGTATGGAAAACGGACATCCTAAGACAGTGTTCAATTAACCTTAAGGTTAATTTTGTTTATAGGTTTTGTTTACCTCAGGATAAATTTCTAAACTGACACCAGCACATAGAGCCCCTGTTCCTCAATACAGCTCCAAAGTATTTGCAGCAGCACAACACATGGGCAGACACGCTCTTCACATTGTTAGCTAATGGTTCTCAGCAGATTACAATAATTCTTTGAAATGGACATGGTGAAATACAAGAATCAGATAGATGCCTGTGTCAAAAATCCACTTCTTGCTCCAAATGTTTATTATGAGTATTTGCATGATTATTCTTTCAGTAACCGATTTAAACAGCCAGAGATGTGACACAAATCCATTAAAAAATGGCTACCTTCTAAGGTGATTTTGCTAATGGATACTTAAAAAAAGGGCAGGTTTTCAATTTTCTTAATAGAAGCCAAAGAAACAAATGAGACAAATTCTTCCATATCAATCCTAAAGGACTCTTAAGCGCCAGGCCAGTGCAAAGTTAACAGGAGCCTGCTTAATTATTTTCTGAATTAGGGGCAGCTGGAAGATTTTTTTAATGAGTAGTATGATGAACAGCTGAGACAATGTTCGTGGAGACTTTCTGTGACCCGTTAGTGTTGTAGTTATTTGGACAGATTAGGACTAAAAGCCTGATTCTGCCCATCACAGGGCTTGCTGCTAGGCAACCTCACATCATTATCTCACACATTTGCCAAAGTGTGTTTCAAGGAACACTGAAATGAAGAGGAGAGATTAAAGAATAGTGCCCCTTACCATTTAGATCATTTAAATTAATTTTTAATATATATGTCAGAGCCTTAAGACAGCAAAAAAACCCAACATGGGGTTGGTATGAGCTGAAGAAAGACATGTATTATGTTTTTGCACATTTATTTACTTAGTGTTATGTAAGATGTCCATTAGGTTTTACAAACTGCCCCAATATGACTTCTGGGATCCATCAGCAGGTCAGGTACCCAGACCAAGCACTTCAACTTTAAGCTTCAGCAACTTGGTTATTGTTTCCCAAACAAATACATGGTCTCTACATGCCAAAGTCCCTCCTGGTGACATCTGCTCAATCAGACACTTGACTGCCCCTTCTTTTATGATGAGATTGTCCAGATCCATTTCCTGACCTGGTTTCTCTCGTGAACTCTGGAATCCCTCTCCTTAAACAGAGGTGAATAGTATTCCCCATGCAGTGTCTCTGATTTCTTATTTTCTGTTCGGGATAAAGCATGTGTTCTGAAGCCGCAAGCCTGTGACTAGCTATGGGCCGCTTTCTTCTCAGTGCTAGGTAACCATCACATGCTTCAAGGCTCTTGTACCCATCTGCCCTGCACTGCCCACATTTCCTCTCTTCTCCAGCGCTCTCCCTAGTGTCTCCTCATTCAGCTCCCTCATGCCCACCATCCTTTTCTATTTATTCTCTTCTTAGAATAGATACTGGGTGAGGTATCTAAGGTCCTTAAATTATAGAATCATAGCAAATGAAACCTATTGGTGTTCACACTCAATCCCACTATCCTGAAGAAACCACCACTTTCAGCTGCTGAGATAGTTCATGCCTGTGAATCCCTGTATGTGTCTGCTCACACCAGCTCTCCATCTTCTATGCCTTCTTCCCTAGCTTTCCCTAGCTTTTAAAGCCCTTGGGTGCTTACTTTAGTTGCTCTTTCTATGTGGTTACCAAACAGAGTAGCATGCACCTTCTCCATTCTCAGGATCCACATGTATTTATTTATACCTATTATTTATACGCGGTATTTATATGTAAGCTCAGAGGCCTACTGCAGTATGTGAACGAGAAGGGCAGTAGGCAAAGGTTTTGCAAAGTTGGAAAGTTTCCGGAAGTGCTCTATATCAGGCAGTGTGCTAAAGGTCAAACAAACTTAGAACACTAACTTCTGGAAGTTGAGTACAAAACTGATAGTGAGCACTTACAGTTAACCTTGACTAGACAAAGCCTCACAGCTATGCAGGTTAGCGATAAAACCGCAGCAAAACGCTGCTCAGCAGGAATGAAAGGAAGCGTTCTCATGCCTCTAACAGCCCCAGAACCCTGTGTTACAGCCCCTGGAGTCATTGTCTTGGTTTCTGCTAACCTAACTGGCATTCAGTCACAAGGGAAATCACGGAGGCAGCGGTTATGGGATTTTGTTTGACTCCATTTCTACTGATGTCCCTTAAATATAAGGGAAATGATGATATGCAAGTGGAGACAGTGACATGTTTAGAAAACCTCTAATCACAGTAGGGTGACTACAGGCTATCCTCAGGGCTGCAATAAAACATGGTAATGGATGAACCATCTTCAGAAGTAGCTCAATAAACTGAAAGTGTTGGTGTATAGCTATTAAAAATCTAGACAAATTGCAACCAGTGACTTAGCCATATCCAGAGCTCATACAACAATAAGAGCAGAATGAAGCATACTTTAAAGCAAGCCATCGGGAAGATTCCCTCCTCCCGATGGGCCAGAGAGCAAATATTTTATGCTGGGAAGAGGTTCAGTCTCTCTCAATCACCCTGCTCTGCCATGGTAGGTTGAAGGCATGCTTCTGTGACAGAAAAAATGTGGCTACATTCTAGTAAGACTCCCTTTCCAAACAGGTAGGCGGCTGTTGCATTTGGCTGGTGAACCCCATCCAGATGATTGCATTACTTGTCTGGGAAGGCATTACTTATTTGCCACACTCTTTCTGAAGAACCAAGAAGACAAAGAAGAGTAACCTGAGTGAGAAAATGTTGGTTCACACTTAACTACTAAGCCAGTCATTGCATACAAAGGGGTGGACTCAGAAGTAACAGTGAAAACCACTGTGGAATGGGGTGTTTGGCCCAAGGCCAAATTAAGGAGGTGAGATTTATGTTGGGTGCAGTGTTAGCCAAGAGTATAAACATGAGGTCAAATTTGTACCTGGGAGTATCACAAAGCCCTTTTTAGTTCCCTCACTGAAAAGCCAGTGAGAGCTAATAGCCACACACTAAAGGTGCCAGAGGTTAGCCACACCAGAATTTTCAAGTTTAGAACAGAGCAGTGGCTCTGTCTCATACAGCAAGGATTGCTAGGAATCAGAGTCTTATTCTTTAAGTTTTGTTTCAATGAAGGAGGATCCCATTCTGTTAACCTTTGTTGGAGCTGCCCTGGCAATATCATCAAAAGAGAGCCTGGGATTTCCTGAATGTCTGAATGACACTTAGGTCTGTTGATTGGGGATTGGGTGGGAGAACCCTGAGGCTTGTGAGAAAGCTTTAGTGAAACGGGTAGGTCATCAGCAAGCTAATGGCACATTCTGTATACACAGCCAGTTAATTTGACTCCAATTTTATGCTCACTGAGTAACTTTGTGATTTATGAATCCACCACCTAGGAGAAAATGGAATGAATGAAGGCTAGTAGTTATTATGTCAGCTGATCCCCCAAAAATAAGCTAGAAAATTACTGTTTTGGTACAGAATGTTTTCAGAGATTTTGGCAGCACAAGGCAGCACTCTGTGCTTGATTAGATGTGTGTGTATTATTGGAATTGGGGGATCTAGGAAACTGATGATCAGAACCCTAGCTCCGTAGAGCACTGTCTGACAGTCAGTGGATGAGTTGTCTCTGATAGCCTTCAAGGTGTGGAGAACCTGAGAGCAGAATGCCAAGAAAGCAAGGTACTTTCCAACATGCTGACTGCGTTGTAGAGCAAGGGGTCTCAAAGAGGGCAGGTCTGCCATCAAATAGGCTGAGCATGGGGTACCGAGAGAATAAACACCAACAGCAGAAACACACACAGAGAGAAGACGAAGAAGACAGGGTCATGAAAGACATGGGTTCTAGTATGCAGTTTCTGATTGTCACTGGTTACAGTTCCGGTTGCAGATGAGATGCTCAGCAAGCGTGTGATGGACACAGGAATAAATGTGAATGAACGCGAAGGCAGGGGAAACCCTACACTACAAACTTCCAACAAGGAAAAGAGAATGAAGTGCCAGCACCACTTTTCTCTGTTCAGTTAGAATGTGATGGCTAATCTCATTATTAACTTTTGACTATATCTGGAGCTGGTAGCAGGTTTGAGGGGGTAGACCTGACCTGTGATAGACCTGACTGTGTTGTTTTGGGGAGGATTATGGAAGGACTTTGGAACTTTGGTCTAAAAAAGCCATTGAGTGTTGGGAGTTCAGTGGGCTGAGCTGTAGCAGTTTAGAAGAGAATGCTGAGAGTAAGCCAGTAAGTAGTACTTCCCACAGCATCTGAATCAGTTCCTGCCTCTAGATTTGCACCCTGTGGCTCTTGCCTTGACTTCTCTGGACAATACACTGTTAACTGAAAGTACAGGATGAAATAAACCCTTTCCTCCCGCATTGCTTTTGGTCATGGTCTTTTATTACAGCACTAGAAACCATGAACAAGACAGGACACTACAGTGGCCATTGTACTTGTCCATTTACAAAGCTGGTCCTACGTAAAAGTTCAATGACCTGCTCTGCTCAGTTACCCAGAAGTGTGGTCAGCTCAGGAGAACGGAAGAGGGGAAACCCAAGATCTTGGTCTCTGGAGAAGAAATGGCCTGTGCCCTGTTCTTTGGTCCTGATTAATTCCAAAGGTGACACAGACACACACAAGGCAGCTTTGTGGAAATGGAGAGTCTCTCATTCTCCTGCCCATTACTGCTTCAGGGCTCATGAGGCGTGCTTGAGGTCTGCATTTTACTCTTCTGCCAACTTCAAAACAGCCATCAGTCAGAAGGAAAACAGCATGAATCCAGGTAAGACTGGGCTGCTCCTCAAAGTTCCCAGGAGTTTTCACGGCTCAGAGATCCTCTGTCTGATCATCATGCCTTTGGACTGAGAGTTGTGGGACAGCTCAACGGTAGGATGCTTGGCTAGCATCTGCAAGCTCTGAGTTCCATGCTTTAATTAATGGAAGTTCTGAAGTCTTTAATTCTTTTCACAGTAAGCCAAGTGCACGGTCAAGCCGTTCACCAACCTGATGACCATGTTTGATTGTTTAGTGGCCCTGACAGAATTCCCTCGCCTCCCCTAGTGTCCTCTGCTAAACACTCAGTGTTTGCCTCCGGGATAGCTTCTGAAGAGCTGTGTGCAGGACCTGTCTTTGACAGGTAGCTGTGGCAGCTGACAGGCTCCGTCAAGGAAACCCAGGAGAATGCCAGCGCTGACCAAAAGTCACAAAGCACCATGGAGTCAGCTGGGTTTCTGTGTTCACAAGGAGCTCTAGAAATCCTGTAATTGGTGATCTGGCAGAGACAACACATGTGGAGTGGAACAAAGTGGCACCTGCAGTGCATGAGTCTGGGGCATTCTATGGTTGGTACTATCTGGCAGATTCGTCCCATCTAGTCTAAGGGTCTGGCAATTTGGCAACTAATTTAAAATGTCACCTCTCTGATAGTTAGTGAAGCTGCCTTCCCTTTCATAACTTATAAACCAATGTAAATCTTCTCTTCAGGAAACCAAGAGTCTATTTCCTCGGTCTGCTTTAAGCTTTTTAAAAAGAATCAGTTCTTTGGAGTTGTTTGAATATTAAAAGACCACCCATTAACTTCGTATGCTCAGTGCTCTTTGACAGCTAAAATCCAGACTATTTATGACACAGGCAGAGAATATCAGCAAAAGTTAACAGAACAGCCTGTTTCTACTCCTCCCTCTGCTACAGTGGGTAGGGCCAAGATCCCCTGCCCTCTTCCTATTGCTGCTTCCTGACCCTCGCTCCGGGGAGCAGACTTTGCCATTCCCATTTGCTATGCCACAATTTTGTCTACACCTCTACCAGCTTTGCTCTCTATGAATATAATTAGATAGCTCTTGTAACCTGCTTTGCCCTGTCAATGTCCTGTCCTACAGATTCACAGTTATATTTGTGTAGTTCACTAGCTTCCTGCTGTATGGGCTCATTAAATATACTGCAATTCATTTATCCATTTTACTGGTTTTGTTATCACACACCAGGGCTTCCGTGATTACTTTTTTTCCTGTGTGTGTCTTTTTGTGACTGTGTGTGCATGTCTGTGTGTGTGTTTTTGTGACTCTGTGCCAGAAACCAATGCCAGGCATCTTACTTGAGTTCCTTCCCACCTTCCTTTTTGACACAGCATGGATCATTAACTGTGGAGCTCACTGACCTTGCTAGATAGGCTTCCAGTGAGCTCCAAAGATTTGCCTGTATTCATTCAAATTCCTTAACTGCCAGCGCTATGATTACAGACATATGCCACCATGCCTAGATTCCTCCTGGATCCTGGGGACTCAAAACTGGAGTCTACACATTTGGGTGACAAGCATTTTACCAACTGACCCATCTCTCCAGTCTTTGCTACAAATGCTTTTATGTATAATTCTTAATAGACAAATACAGAGTTTCACTTGGACAGTTACATATATCTAGACCTAATGATATTTAAATATATACTCAAAGATACGTGCCAATAAAGTATCATTTGCCAAACAAAGTTTCAGAGTCATGTGATTAGTAAGAATGTATTGTAAAAATTCAAGTATATAAACCAAAACACATATACATCAAAATAATTTCTGTTCTGTATATGTGTATAAATTATATTATGTACACAAAAATAACATAACCAATACTACAATGTTGCTTTAAAGGAACATATCATATGTAAAGAGGGGGTCCTCATGCTTTAAATTTCTCTGTACTGTTTAATTTATTTAAACATAGATTTATTGTTTCTATATACCAAAATGAATGATTAAAAAGACAAGTATAGGGTCTGCAAAGGTGGCTCCATGGTTAATAGCACTGGCTGCTCTTGTAGAGGACCTGGGTTCAATTCCCAGCACCCACACGGTTGATCACAACCACCCATTAGCCTAGTTCCAGGTATGTGATACCCTCTTCTGACCTTTGAGGGCAATGTATGCACACGGTACACAGACATACCTACAGGCAAAACACCCATGCACATGAAATAAACAGAAAAAGTTTAAAGGCAAGTTTGTTAACGCTATACCTGATCTGCATTTATTTTTACCATTGCTATCCTATCATACACACTGCAATACTCATTACTGTAATAATCATTACTGTGATAACCATCATGATCATCACTGTGAAAACTTATTTAAATAAAAATCAATCAACTGGTAATAGCTGACATCATTCCGTCTTCACATTTCCCCTCATGCGTCTATTAAGAATTCATGGAAACTCCAGGATCTAGTGTACAGAACCTTTAGACAGCTTACAGAACATTCCTTTAATAGTCAACATGGAGAAAGCTAATGAGACAAAAATACCAGGCAAAACAAAAAAAAAATACACGGAAGTGGGAGTTCTCTCATCCACTAATACAGAAGGAAAGCAGCAGACTGTAAGGACCAGTGCGTATGAGAAAAATCTAGTTTCATACTGTACAAGCTGAGGTACTAATGATCCAGATGACAGAGAAAGAGAAAAGCAAAACAAAATCCAATACCTTTTTCATGTAATGGTGTCTTGGTTGTTTGACGGTGGCAAGGAGAGTCCTCTGTATCGTGATTGGATTTTGAAGGTGATGAGGGTGAAGTGTCTCCCGAGGCAGAGGAGAAAGTGTCTGTTTCTGGCAGCCGTGATCCTTCTTGAGACTCGGTCAGGTCATGAGATGAGAAGACCTCATGGCTAGCCACAGGGGTGAGGGGTGCAACCCCAGAATCTGATTCTGGAGAAGAAACTCTCCAACCCTTGGGCAGAAGCGATTAGGTAACGTGTGTGTGGTTAGAGAGACTGTCTGAAGGCTGTTGATATAAGAGGTTACAGAGCAAGTTATGATACCGAGTGTCAGTGCTGTGCAGCATTTACTTGGAAAGGGACCAGTCTTTTCTTAGGGAGTGAAACCTGTGTATGTTGGCTTATTTCTGAGAACGCATAGTTCATAACTACTCACCAATAAATAGTGCAGCTAACAAAGCCACCTAAACATGTAGAGACAGTTACTTGAATCTCCATTATTTCCTACTAGATTAAACCAACAGCTGAATATCAATGGTATCATCACAAAACATGGTAATATGGAAAATGCTTTTGGTTACCTTACTGAATGGATGGAGAAAAGAATTAAATGACAACTGTATAGTAAATTGAATAAAATTCAGGAGACAAAGACATAAACTATTCCAATTCTTTCCAAGGAGGGTGCAGACTCTATTAATAAAACAGCCATCACGTCCAATGTACATCTGATGACCAGGAAAAGTGCTCACCTTCCGTTCCAGGCTGTCCTCCCCATCAGTTGAGCTGACACTGTCATAGAGCCGTGTCCTTGTGGGCCTCTGGCGTCTGTTCTTCACAGAGAGCTGGGCCCGTGTTTTCAGTGCTTTTGAATCCAGGCGCTCTGTCTCTGGGACTGCTTCATTCAAGTCTAGGAAGAGTATAGCAAAATAATCTGTGAGAGAAAACTCTGGAGACTCTTGGCAGAGACCACAGACACTGAAACCCAATCATTGGTTATCCGTGACCAGGGGTACAGGTGACAATTTTCCAGCTTGTCTAATGTTCCATATATCATCCAGAGAGCATAAAGCCTTTCTGCAACACATCTAGAAAAGCAAAGGTTTGCATTTGCTTATGGACACACATGTTGGGGCATGGTAAGTTACAAGAAACCTTAGAAACTCTATAAATGAAGTCTAGTTGCCAAAGTCAAATATGGGTAACAAAGGTGACCTTGATCCCCAAAATTCTCTAATAGGTTATACAACTTTGGTCTTGATAGTATCTGAATATCTAACATGTTCCTTTTTGAACTCTGCTAAAACAAACAAAAGCTGAAAAAAAAACTAGAACAGAATGTATTTAATGGCGGCACATTTATAATAAATGTATTTCCTTAGAAGGCCTGGCTACACAGACAGACAAACGGTTGAACCACCCCAAGTGTGTAACTTCTGGTAGTATGAAGGGAGGAGAAAGATTTTGTCTTCTGGCGTTAGTTTCTGGGTTATATTCCAAGGTGTTGATGCCTCTGTCTCATTTCTTTTTCTGAACACTTTCTCTTCTCACCACAAACCATATTAGTTTCCCACAGAGAAATGTTTACATCTTAAGAACCTCAAGAGAAGAAGCTAGAGTGATGTCTCAGTGTTTACAAGAATTTGTTACTCTCATAGAGGTCCCAGGATCAGTTCCCAGCACCCACACGGTACCTCACAATCGTCTGGAGATCTGATACCCTCTTTTTATCTCCACAGATACCAGGCACACATGCGGTGCACAATACATATATGCAAGCAAAACATCCACATAATAGTTTAAATCTAAAGTACAAAAGAATCAAGAGAAAAAGACAAAGAGAGAAGGAAGGAGGGAAAAAGCAAAGCAAAACAAACAAACAGACGAAAACAATAGTAGCAGCAGCTGGGCATGGCAGAACTCGTCATCTCAGCGCTAAGGAGGCTAAGGCACAACAATTATCTTGAATTCAAAATCAACACGGGTGAGTCTCTGTCAGAAAACCACAACCCGCAGAAAGGATGAGAAAGAGGTAGAAGGGATAATAGAGGCTACCAAGAACTTTCCTGGGGTCTTCTTTAATTGATTCTTAATACTTTTAATCTTGTTAAGTGTAAATGAGGGCAGAGAAAGGTTACCCATGAACACACGTATTGCAGTAGGAGTATGAGTACTGATTAGAGAGAAAGTATTTATCTGAAGTGGAACTACTCTTTACATAGATATACTCGATCACTTACTGGAAATAAAATTGTGTGATGATTAATCCCATCTTATCTTTTCAGGATGGCAGTCATTAAACAAAGTTATTCTGAAGAAATTAATTGAGTGACCCTGGATTTAAATTATTAAAGTAAGCAAATAACTCACATAATTCAAATAACTAAAATAGACTTGTACAAATAGAAAGGGATTTCTTATGATAATCATTAGCCTAGGCAATTCCTTTATATAGCATTATCTTAAAGATGGGCTCTAAACATATAAAACACAAACACTGAGGGGCCTCGGGTGCTTTCTCTCTTACTTATAAAACTGAGTGCTTGGCATATAGTTCTAACAAATAAAATTCAACATACATTTGCCCGGGAGACACATCTCCGAATGACAATGTTTACAGAAGGTCTGACTTTCCATTTCCTATACTTGGGTGAAGAAGGAACACTGGGAGAAGCCAGGTCACTCAGGCGAATATAGATGTTTTCTAATTAGTAGTCTCTTTACTTTTTACATGCCAATGGAGGAAAAAAAAGTTGCCTTCATCGCTTTAATTTCCTCCCTCCAATAAAATCTATATTTGCAGCTGCCCATTAAGAGTTCATTAGTTGTGATAATTGGGAGAAAGTCAACCTTACAATCTCTGTTTACCTATAAAAATGCAGAACACCACACAGATGAAAGCAATAACATAATTAAAAATACCACAGTTCATGCACGTCTTCCATCTTTTCTGTCTTGGAGTTGGATTGCATGCTCTGTAATGCAAAGCACTGTCACATGCTACACCTTGCTTGTTCCTCATTATAGACCCATGAGACAACAAGCAAGCTGGTTGTTTCCTCTCTTGAGGCCCAGAAAATTGGAGTAGCTTGCCCTCCTCTCCACAGCTAGCTGATGAACTGCCCTGACTATTCCAGGGCTCTGTCTCCCAGGCAACTGACTATCCACTCCAATTTAGCTAGTGTTGAAAAGTCAATATTAATACCATGGAGATGTGTTTTAAAAGTTACAAAATCATGTATGATGCAACCCGTCTAAAGAAATTCAGCTCTCTAGCGTCTATTCTGTGTTTATTAGAGAATGTGGAAAAGGTAAGACCTATTGAGACGTACAGACAGATTGCTTCACAGATGGTCTCATGACTGGCTGGATTACTAACAACTTCGGTTAGTAGACAGCAAAGGTACCCAAGGAAGATGCACAGCCCACTTGTGGAAATACGGTTCCTTTGGTAATAGAATCCTGGTTTTAAACACAGCGCAGCATCCTGCCTGCAGAACTGTACGAGTGACTCCACTGCTTGTGCTGAATGAATGAAGTGAGTGGAATTGAGAAGGACTCATAAGCAGGCATAAGACTGAAGAAAGCAGGGACTATTGGTCCTGTTACAAGGAAGTAATCAGCTAGTTCAGCTATTAGACAATCTCAAATGGCAATATGAACATCAGCTTCAGCATCCCCTCATCAGGTGTAAACTGACTGGGCATGCAATTATGTCTAGAAAAAATTCACTTAGCGCAAGTCTAAAAGGTAGCACTTCAAATCTGTTCTCTGAGAGGCCAACACCATATTGCCCACAATGTTTGCAAGTCTAAAGCAAGTATCAGAGGCATTTTATTGCAGAGATTATGGATTACAAACCAGTAATTTTCCACCCTGAAAAGAGGAATGGTTTTTAAAAGAACCTCAAGAGTGGAATGGTGCTGAGAACTGTCACACTGACAGCACTTACACACAGGGAACACTGTCTATGAGAAGATGCCCAATGACAGCCAGGAAGGATGCGTGGAAACAGGAGACACCAGCTGCTGGGTAGCAGACATCTGGGTTGCTCTACATCATGTGGTATTATCTTCTTCCACTATGCAATTTAGGAATCACAGTATTACAACTCTAAAGAATATTGGGATTCTGGTCAACCTTATGCCTCCTAATAGCAGCCCGAGGCTCGAAGGTAGCTGCTTATTTGTGCACTAACTTGTACATACAGTCACTCTGTGGAATAGTTCAGATAGAACTCACATGTACAGGTCTATGCTCCTACAGGGCTGCTCTTGTACCTGCCACAAGCACTCTTTTTCTATTTCTCTATAAAGAAATACATGCCCAGTGTAACTCTGCATGGCACATCATGGGGACCAAACCCTAAGGGATTTTATTTGGCTTTATATATATCCCAGGAATAAAACTCTTACCCTAAAATATTAGCTGTCACTTTAGGTGATGGCAGTGTGGCAGGAGAAATCCACCAGGCTCAGTCTCTGAGTTATGTGCTGTGGGCTGAAAGGGCTTAGCTGGCCATGTTTGCCAGTCCTTCCTAACAGAGATCCTCATTTCTATGGTAACATGGTTCCTCAGCCCCGGGCCTCAGGCATCCCTTTCCCTCTTCTTTCTGGTGTATCTTGTTTTGCTGTTCGCAGACAGGAAAATTGCTTTTTTCTCTCCTGCTTCCTGATTTATTCTTTCTGTCAGATCCTCCAGTCTGCGAAGCAGCCTACCACTCAAATGCAGTGAGAAATACAAATGTGGAACAGTCTTAAGCAGATAAAAAAATACAGATGGATGTATTCAGAGACCCTCTAGACAGGACCTAATGTTGGAACTTTGAGTGGGTGGGGCATGGCAATACTTGCATCTCAAGACTCGTTTCACTATTGTGTTAAATTGAATCCTTTAAAACAACTTAATGGACTTAATTATGATTTTAGTAGCTGGATGAAAATGCTTATGAAATTAGGATATTATATATCATATAACAGAGACTAGTTCCCTACAACACTGCTATGAGTCATTTGGTTCTTTTTCCACTGGATTGACGTTGCTTTTGACGCAAATGGAATGCAGCTGGAGGATCAGACCCAGGCAGCAGGGAGAGCAGGAATGGAGCTGCATAAGAATGGAGTCCACTGTTCACTCTGCTATGCACTGGGCCCCTCTAAAACAGTGTTACCTCGTTTCTGCCTCTGTCAACTGAAATGCTGGGCATTTGGAGGCACTTGGTGGTTTTGACACATAAACAGTATCTGCATATTATTCACAGAGACTGCAAGTTCATAAAAGATGGGCCCTTTGGGATTGGGGGCTGATGCATACTGTATCCAGGCGGTAGATTTAAGCATCCCAGAGAGCCAGTGTGAGATAGTCACTGTAAGAGCAGACCTACAGCTTGAATCCAAAATGAGCTGCCACGCCATGAAACTGGGCAATTTACCTAACCCCTCGGAGGTCCCTGAGGATCCTCACCTGCAGAATGGGAATGACAATGACTGCATAATGACTGCATTGCTATGAAGGTTAAATGCATTAATAGACCTCAAAGTGTTTAGAAGAGTGATGCTGTGGAATAACCACTCCACAACTATCTTTATTGACTGGCTCCTTAATACAGAAATTCTATTTCTAGATACATATCTAAATATTGTAACAGGCAAAGAAAGGACCAACACATCAGGTAGCTCACTGTGTTGCTATTGAGAAATCTTAACTTATTATCATGTACATTAAATCTAAACTCCAGCTTTCTTAAACAGGGAGCTTTCCCCATTTCCAGACCTAGCTGGTTATATGTAATCTGAGACCAGTGTGGACTATAAAATTTCACAGAACTCTCATCCACTTGGTACTTGATTTGACAAGGTACACTTTGTGGTCAAACATGTTGCAGACAGGTGGTAAGATTCCAAGAGAGAAAGTTCAAGGGACCATTTGGGATTCTCATACTTACAGGGTACTGTGAAAAAAGAAACACAAAACACTAAAATATACACTTGTGATCCCAGGATGTGGGTCACCAAGACAGTGGGATCACAAGTTTGAGGGCAGTCCAGACTATACAGTGAGATCTACCTCAAAACACATCAAAAGCAATGAACATCTACAAAAAAAAATTGCAAGGAGCAAAGACTTGTTGTTTTTTTTTTTTTTTAACGAGAGCACATTCTTTGGCAGAGTTGCTGCTGAATCAGCTGTGTCAACCCACATGGCGACAGTGGGAGTCCTCTCCCAGCCAGATCTACCATCAGCTCTCAGGTTCATTTAGAAACCAGGACTTGGTGAGATTTTTTGTGTTCTTAGGCAGGTGATACAATCTTTTCCCTCCAGCATTACAGGTGTTGGAGCTTTCCCGTTAGAATACACACAACGTTGAGGTGCAGAGGATGCACCAAGCTAGGACCTCTTATGACTAGGTCTTTGCCATGTCTCATTGTTTCATGGTATTTATAAAAAGTTTAAGATGAATAAAGCAGCTAAGACAATTTTACAGAGTACAGGGATTGCTGTAAAGGGACAACTGGAATGCTCTGTGATATGTTTGCTGTCTACACTACCAGGGTGGTGGCCAGCACTAAATTCTGGCTGGAGATAGGCTCCGCACCAAGAATTTAACTAAGATAATTCACCTAATTCTCTTATCAGCACCATATGCTTATTCTTTAATAGTTTTTCTGCCTTTATGAGGTAAGTCACATTAAAGAACTTCTTAATATTCAACAGATGGGAGAGTTGGTACTTAAATGCAGTAAGCAACTAATGGAACAAGATCTGGGTGTTTGGCTATGGAGGCGAAGGTCAACCTTGAGCGCCTTTCTTGACTGCCCTCCATCTCAATGTCTGAGACAGTGTGTCTCTCAGAACCCAAGCTCATACATTCGGCTCCAATGACTAATGATCTCTGCCTGCTCCCAAGTACTGGGGCTACAGATGTGTTAACATGTCCATATTTTTACACAGGTGCAAGGGATTAAAGGTCAGGCTCTCACCCTCCCAACACCAACTATGAAGTTCTTTATGGAACCCTCTGTATTTACACTCTGCCACAGATGAGACTCAGTGTGTTCTCACCATGAGTCTGCTGCTGAGTACATACTTGTGAGAAATACCTGGTAGCAATGCCCATCTTTTACAGGGATCTTTGAATTACATTCCTATAGGCACCTCAGTTACCTTTGAACTTCAAGTGGTGACAACATTTACAATGTTACGAACCAAAACTTTTTTAGATAGTTAAAGCCCACCTTTACCCCGCGATTACACTTTGCCAGTTTAAATGACCCCATTCTTATTGGATGCATAAACTAGGGAGGACAAAAGTCATTTTGATTTGAAGCAACTTTTATCTGAATTCCCTCTTTATTCTCCAGATGTGTAATATGGTATCTCTCTCTCTCTCTTTCCCATGTCTGATTTCATATGCCCCTTGTTACATATTTGCCATTCTCTTTCTACCCCGCAGCCCCTTTTCACCTTGCAAGCCTGTGACTGAAAACATGCCAGGAAACAGAAACTCCGTGTTCACATGACTTTAAATGAGATTGCACTTTCCTGATCCTTTCATCATGACAACAATCATCTCCCTGCATATCTAACTCCCTCTTATCCAGCCCACACTTTCTTTCAGTAGTCTATGGAACATGCATAATCACTCTCTAAGAAAACAGACTAAATATCTGTGGCTGAAGCAGTACCATCATAAGAATCATGAACTATATAGGTGCTCAGGATGGACATTTTGACTTTCAGGGGCTTTTCAAGGTTATCTATCAGAATTAAGTTTAACCTCATGGTCTAATGATGACACAACATGGTAGTTCAGTCACAGATGTCACTAGGTTCTAGGAAGTAAGGTACAGAATTCATATAGACCAGTGTTACTGAAGTACTAACCAAAGACATTACAGAGAAAAAAAAACACTATTTTCACAGATGGAAAAATAATATTTGACAATTATACACTATAAAATAGAGGGGATTTGAGGTGTGTTAAAACTCTTGATGAAAAATTATCAAATTTGTTTTCTATAATTATGTGGATAATAAAGAATCAGAATATATTAAATAATGAAGTTGTATGTATAACCTTTAACTTTTTGGGGGTAGGGATAGGTTCTAACTGTGTCTCTCTGGTTGGCCTGGAACTTGCTATGTAGACTACACTGGTGCGGAACTCATAAAGGTCTGCTCGCCTTACTCCTGCCCTCTGGGTGCTGGGATTAAAGCAGTGGATCACACACCTGGCCTTTTACTAAATGTTAATGAAATACTAGTTCTGACAAAGATACATACAAGTAGTGTTAAAGGATAACTTAAGTGTGGTACATTTTTGTAAGATATGAAAATTAGTTTTATTTCTCAAAATTACTGGAATTCCAATATTGCGAGTCAACTAACTTCCTAGAGCTTGTCAGGAAGCTCTGTTCTAGAACACGGGTCAGTGTATAGGAATGGAGGAATGGATGCTTTCGGTCCTTTCCGCCCTCCCCCCCATTATTTCATTCTGTCACAATTTATCATTTATCACTCACCTATATCAGCAGCTGCCCCAAGCCCGACACCATTAAAACCTCCATTTAGCCCTCCAGAACTGGGATGCAGGTAAGAACTGAACAGTCCTGAAAGACAGCACGAAAACCCTGCACCTAAGCGGCAGACACCATGATGGTGACTGTAAGTCCTGGACTTTGTGTTACAGAAAGAGGGTGGCGATGGTCTTCCAGTACTGAGTGGGTGGTGGTGGGTGTGCAGCCTTACTCCCTCAATCTCTAAGTCTTCAGTGTTCCCTAGCAACAGAAGCAAAGAATCAACTTGCAAAAGTGCTTTCCAGAACATTCCATCTCCTCACTAGCCAAGCCACTTACGCTATGTGATCAAGTGACTGAATTCAGGATTTGTCATTGGCTGTCACTGGCTGCAAAACTGGATAAACATGGCTTGATAGGTATATTACTAAAGTGCGAAGGGATGGACTCTACCTCCACTACAAGCAGGGATCGCTTTCAGGAAGAATTAGTAGTCTCCACATCTCACTGTGAACCGACAGTGTTGCTAGGGAAACTGATAATTATGTGGCAAAATGGAGGGTGCAGAATAGAAAAAGGGTTCAGAAAAAATGTAAGGTTTTGATCCAAATCAGCATGTTAATAGTACAGTTTGTTGATCTTCTGTAGTCATATAATTTAATAAATACCATTAATTATATGTTTGACAAGACACCCATTTCCAAACTGAAAGACATGAATAATAGGGAAAGGCTACTGGTTACTGATCAAACCCTGAGTATACCACAGCAAGACCCTGTACTTATAAACTACAATTAAACTGTAAATACTCATAAAGGTTAAAAAACCCCACATTGGCTTGATTTCTGTGACTTCTCTTTTGACTTCAATCTTTACACCTTTCCAGGTATAAAAACCGCAGCTGCACTTGCTAACAGTGGTACTTACCTTTGCCTCATAGTCACATGGTGCCCAGCAACCTTGGTAGGCTTATCCCACACAATAAGGGCAATCCAGAGCATCTGGGGACCCTCTTGAAGCACAGCTCTCAATGGTGAATCCTCCAGGTTCTTCTCTAGCAACTGCCTCACGGCATTACTTAGAAACTATCCCTTACTTAGGTACAACCCAGCAGAAGGACATAAGCCAAGTGAGTACATTCGAATCTTTAAAACACTGACTTCATTTAAATGAACATTTATTAATTCTTTGCACTTTAATGAGCAAGAAGTTACTTCTGCAGTTAATGCTTCAACACAACATGCATGTTTGTGTGTGCATGTACATGCCAGTGGGTGTTTGTGACAGTATGTCAGGAATTGACCTCAGCTGTCGTTCCTCAAGATGCATCACCTTATTTTCTTTTAGAAAAGGTGTCTCAGGGAACCTGGGGTCTTGATGTAGCTAGGCTGGCTGAATGACAAGTCCCAGAGACACTCTTATCTCTTGCCCCTTGTACGGGGATTATAGGTACGCATCAATTCACATGGCTTTTTCCGTAAGTGCTGTGGATCTGAACTCAGGTCTTTATGCTTGGGTGGTGACACTTTGCCAACTGAGCCATCTCCCCAGGCCTGAAAAATTTTAATAGGAGAGAAAGATCATGGGAAATGAAAGAGCTCATAATTAGCGGAGTTTTGCTCTTGTACAGTGCCCATCCCTATACACTAGCACTGCTATACGTTCATGTAAACTGAAGAAACAGAAAGGCTTGCAGTCTGCGTGTTTCTGTGTACACATTCTCTTACGTTATTATGTAAGAAAGCAGCATTTGAATGAAACACTTACTCATATGGACATATACATAAACTATGTCAGAAAGTGAATGTGTGAGAACATGTAATACAGGGATTGTGGCTGTGTCTGAGGTTATATGTTCTCTACTTGTTTGGTTTTTGGCAAGGTGGACATGGGGAGTACAAGTAGGACCCCAGATAAAGAAGAGGACTGAAGAGAATATCTTAACTAAGTGAGTCTGGAGACAGGAATGTATTCAGAGGGTGGGAACTAGAGGAAATGGATTACCATTTACTCTGCATTTATTCATGGCCCTGTAAAGATAACTCTTGGTTTGCCTTTAGTTGGAACTCTGTCATTTACACTGAAGCGTTTGTGTTTGATGCGAGCTGAAATGACAGGCTCCTATCCTGATATTAGGAGGTGGTGTGAGATTTGGGGTCTCCAGATCAGAAAAAGAACTTAACTTCTGATTGCTCTGTCGGCAACAACAAGGTTTGAGGTGAGGAGAGACCAACCTTGACTCAAGCCATCCTGACAGGACGTTTGCCTGGCTTCCACATTCTCCATCGCGTCTCCTTTTGAGACTTCACCAGGAGATGTTCGCCTCTCAAAGATGTTGTTGTTGTTGTTAACCTGGGTCCCGTTTTGCTTCAGGAGTCTGAACACCTCAGCCTCCAGATCTCTGATCTAGAAAACAAAAAGGCATCCACAGATGGGAATGTCCAGCACTCCTCCAGGCACACCCAGCTCGCCGTGCTGTGGCAGTGAGAGCCTGACTCACCCGCACTTGTAGGCCCTGGACCTCCAGCAGGTGAGCTTCCTCCAACTCTTGCAGCTTCTTTCTTTCTGCTTCCTGTCTCTTGATGAAATCGAGCTCTCTTAAGAGGAAAACAGAAGGTTCCATTGTAGATAACTTTCAATATGTGAGGAAATGCTCTCAAGTGCATAGTGGGATAAACCCCAGAGAGCTTTTTAAATAAATGAAACGCACATACAGTTAGTGGAAAAGTTGATGGTGATGAAAGGAAAGACACCCCTCATGATTTAATCACAAGGTCAGGAAGTAGTCCTAGTGCTCTCAGTATGCTGATCATCTGCAGCATGCACACGCGTGTGGACAGGAGGGGCTGCACCAACGACTCCATAGGGAATTCAATGGTGATAATTTCCTGTCAGTAGAAGTGATTCTCTATCTCCAATACATAAGGCAACAGATGGAAGTAGCTAGAAGAGCTGAGAAGAGGTTGTTGCGGTGGGAAAACAGTGAGGGGCACTGAGGCGAGCACTCACACCGCCATGGGTAATACTGGAGAAGGAGATGCCCCTCCATTCTGAGGGCTTCTGGTAGAATATGCAAAGCTGGTCATTTCTTACAGATAGATATAGTGTAGTTAGCACAAAGTTACAATGGCAATATACTGAGTTCACAATAATAAAGAACTATTATCCTCCTTTAAACAACTTGTTACAGTTATTGTTTCAACTATTACAATATTATTTCTAAGACAGGAAAGAAATACAATGACTGTGAGACACACACTTAGCTTCCAAGGCTTGTCACAGAAAACCACAGAAGGTACTGGTGTTTGGGCTAGTGTGTCAGAAATAACTCATGACGGCCTCTCTGGGCATGCTCTCTGAGATGACATCAAGGCTCGAGAGATGGGAGGAAAACCACATCAGCTCAGAACCGAGCTGCTGAAATTTCATATGGGTGTGGAGAGGGCCTGCTTCACTGATGTGACCTGGGTCCCTGAGAGCTAGGAGGGGAAATGCAGAGGCAGGGTCGCAGGTCTGTGGTCACTGATTCTAAGAGCAGACAGAAGCAGGCTCATCCAGACCCCACTGTTCCTCTGCATGGAGCACATCCAACCATGAGCCAAGCACCCATACAACTCCAGTTCCAGTGCTGCTTTCTAAAACAGAGAGATACTTCCAGAAAGAACCAGCAAGTGTAAATGTTTTAATAGTTCCTATCAAAGAGTAAGGGGGAGTCAAATGACAACACCCAAATACAATGCCATGAGGAAAAGTTGCTCCGCTAATCTGTGGTAACTGTGATCTGAAAGGGAACCCAGCCTGCACTTCCCACACCCTTAAATAGTATCAAGCCACCGGGGTACACCTTCCTCAGACACCCGTCTGCTTAACTGTTGTGTGGATCACTGGGGAACGCTTACTTTTGTTGAAAATCCTTGATCAGCTTCTTGGCTTTGTTGTATTTCTTCTCCAAGGCCTGATACTGGCTTTGAGTCTCTTTGAGATGCTCGTTTACGGTGTGACACAGAGTCTGTGCCTCGATCCAGTAGCTCTCCAGCTTCAGCATTCTCTCTTTATTCTCTTCAATGTTCTGCTGAAGTTGGTTTTTTTCTAGTTCCCACCTTACTTTCTCATTTTCTGCTGCTTGCAGCTGGAGAAAACAAATGCCAAGGCAAAAGCAATTGAAGCATGTCTGTAGCAACCGTCTCTCCACACTATTATAGCTTGTTTTAGATAAAATTCTATTCTTATGTGCCCTCAGTCATCAAAACAGCTTGAGATGAGAAGAGCAACAATTCTTTCCATATCCATAAAGGATAAAATGGAAGGCTTGAGAAAGGAAATGATTTGCTCAAGGTTACCCGTCTGATACATGATGAAACACAAGATTCCAAATACTGTGAGCTTTGTTTGATACCATGTAGCTGAAATACTCCAAGCAGGAAAAGACGCCTGGCATATCACTGATTCGGTCCACTATATGTCAGCACATTTCCTTTGAGAGCATGTTACATAAAATGTAGGACGGTAAGTTAAAAGTTAACTACAAAGAGAGTGGGGGTAGGGAAGGGGAGAGGAGGAGCAGCATACTATCCTGTAAAGCAGTGGTTCTCAACCCTTCTAATGCTGCAACCCTTTAATGCAGTCCCTCATGTGGGGTGACCCCCCCCAACCATAAAACTGTTTTTGCTGCTACTTCTTAACTGTAATTTTGGCTACTTTGTGAATCATAATGTAAATATCTGTATTTTCTGAGGGTTCTTAGGTGACCCTGTGAATGGGTCATTCTGAAACCAAGAGGTTGAGAACCACTGCACTAAGGGCTAAGAAGGGACTTAGTCATTCAGCTTACATTTGAATTACTTTCCTAAAAACTTAGACAAGCGGTCCAAGTTTCTGAGAGCCTGGGTTAAGCATCTACATGTGCTCTCACAGCTCAGCATCCTTGCAACACCTCCCGGGGATCATAATCATCTGCTAAGTGTCAGCGTCTCTTCCTGGGTTTTTAACCTTTTAGAGGATGTTACTAGGTTCCTGATTTCAACTGACATGGCCACAGTCTGTCACTCCAGGGAGTGTTATAAATATCTAGCTCTTTATTAACCTTAATTTAAACAAAGCATACAAGACAAGGATAAGTAAAGATGTAAGTGGTTGCTTGATGAATCTCAGTCTCTGCAATGGGTCAGAACGACAGTTTTGTGTTGTCACTGTCTCTAGGTATTCTCGGGAATATGGGGTGCAGTTTTCCCTAGACCTCCTGGCTGAATCTGAGTGCGGGAAACAGGAACCCATCTGGCCTTGCAGTCACACACCCTTTAGGTTGCTGCTCTGCCAACCTTCTCTGCCTTGTTTCAACTTATCAGTATTCAAAATGAAGACATTCTGAAATTATTATATAACATTGAACAAATGGAATACACATTCACACAAATATGTATTTATATATCACAGGTAGAGTTTAGTGAAAATTTTTACTAAATACATTTGGACAAGAGGTTACAAAATAAAAATTATTTTGAAATGAGGAAATCTATTTAACATGGATAATAATCACAATTACATATTTTCAAGTTTGAATACCATATACCAATCTATGAATAAAAATATAAAATAGTAATTTGTAGTATTTTCTAAACTAATCCTCATAGTCAAATGCCTACGCCTATTTACGAGAGCTTTCAGAAACACAGGGGCTTCTTTTCCCTATTTGTAGCCAACAGTTTAAGAAGATCTTCTTTTAACATCAAGAAACAGTTCCGGTAAAATGTACTAGGTTTTTACTGCATCTGTAAGTGAGTAATGTTTTATAGCAGTTGTTTATGTACCAGCCACTGCTAACTTAGAATTTGAAATTCACAGTGCGAGGCTGGCACCATGGAGGATGTATAATCATGCTTTGGCTGGAAAGCTGCAGAACGTATTAGTCGAGAATGCCATTTAACCAAAGTAGCCCAGCTGATTCATCTCCATTTAAAACACATGGAAAATCCCAAACAAGTATCCACTATAAATGAGAAAACAGATCACTAGTCGTGGGGAGTAAATGTTATCTAACTTCTAAAAAGATCATGGAAGCAATACAGAATAGTTTGAAAGTAGCTGAAAAATATTTTTAAGTCTCTGAAAATATACATTTGATAGAACTGAACACAATAGCTAGAACTGTAACTTGTACAAGAATTTTACAGCTTACTTTGATGTCTCATTTCATATAGATTATAAATATATTGTCTTTTTATTCATATTTTTCTTCAACAAATTTAAATAATGCAAACTAAGTATTCCTCAAGATTTCCAGTAGCCCCTGGATCTAAATCAGTTACACAGTGTCATAGATTGAGTTTATAATATTTAATTCTTAGACATGGGAAGCTTTTTTTAAAAAAATAATTAATGTGCCACATTAGAACAATACATTGCTTCTAGTAATTAGCTAAAAAAAAATCAATCTATGTATTATAAGGTAAATCACATAAAGGAGATTTGATATACCAGCTTGTACTTGAAAAATGAGTACACAGTTCAGATGCTTGAGCCATTAAAAATATCATTTTTGAAGAAATTTCAGAGAAAATATGCATAAGCATATCTGTTTAAGCTATGAGGTACGTCACTGGGGTGTGCTTGCTCTCCCGGACGTTCCGTCTTTGTACTTAATCATGGAACTGAAACTCATGGAAGTATGCTCGCAAATGCACAGGACCAAATCCGTTAGTCCTAGGCTTCAAATTCCTCAGAGTATCTGAAGTTTAAAGAGTACAACCCAAACACCACGGAGCGGTGCTTACCTTGGTCTTCAATTTTTGAATCTCTGCTTCTGTAACTGCATGTTTGATTTGCAACTGAAAATTGAAAAGAAAAAAATTCTCAACTAAGAGTGTTTCTATATTTTTAAAGACTCAGCAGTGAGAAGAATATCTTATGACACAATAAAAAGCCTAGGAAACTGCTGCAATGCAGCAGGTTGTAAATTACAATGTCTAGCGTGTAAAATGACTCACTGGGTGCAAACTAATTAAACACTGGGTTTATGGCTCACAGTCCCTACCATCCGATTAAGTTACCAGTTTAATTGCTCAAAGGCCAAAGAAAAAGAAAACCCATTTCTTGGCCTCTGCGGCTCTTCCTTTATGATCGGAGCGTCGCCGGAGCTGTTTCCTTGCTAAGGCTGGCCAGTTGAACAGCTTGAGCCAGCCAGTCAACAGGCCTGGCATAGCGTGAAGATTCAGTTCCACATCTTGCAGAAAGGTGGCGCTGTGGTTCTGCGAGTCGCTTTCACATTCCACAGAGCTGCTCTGCTGCAGAGGATGGAGGGAATGGATGCTGCGGCTCGGAGAAATCTCCGGGTTTGTTTTTGTTTTTCTCCTTCTTCTTTTTAAAAGCATGGAAAGGTACAGATTCAGATTTCTGCCCCCCAAAATATCTACCTGTGTGAAGACTCCAATGTCACGTGCACTGTTTTGCAACATAATAGTCGCCTTTGCCTTTTGTTTTCTTTGCTCCCCGCCCCCACTGTTTTCTTTGTAAGGAGGGGTCTCCAATGCCTCACTCGTTTCTTTAAGGGCTGAACGCTCTCCCTGGACTTAAGGAAAACAGTTTATGGGTTCACAATTTGTTCTCTGAATTCCCTGGGAAAGGATGTTTTTGAAATTCCCAATTCTCCTCGTCTTAGAGGTCAAAACACGCCCGCACCTTCATCAGTTACATTTTGCATTTCGGGAGGGGGGCACTCTGCTACCAAATTCAGGGGCATTTCTGCCACACTGCTTCTTTTGGTCACATTGTACTCTGAGTTGGTTTGCCACAAACTTATTAAAGACCCCCCCCCACACACACACATTTTTTTTCCGGTCCAAAGTAATTTGGAATTACAGCTGTCCAGGAAGTACTGTAATCTTATGCTATTACTACAACCAAGCACATTTAATGCAGTTTACCAGTCAGCCAAGGAAGGGCCGAATGAAGGGCCTTGAATTACAAGGGGAAGTAACCTATGCAGCCCACAGGGCCTCCTAACAGGCTCCTCTCTGGCTTTGCAGCATGTGTGTCCTTGGCTTTACTGGCTTGCTGGGGGTAGGCGCAAAGGATGCCAAGAGAAAAAAGGAAGACTTAAAAGAGGTTGGACCAAACATCCAGCTTATGGCTGAACAACAGTCAGGGCCTGGAGTTGTCAGGCTTGGTACACCATGGTCCCCTTCAGTGGTTTGTCAAGGCAGGCAGCCCAGCTGTGGAGGGTGACCCCAACACTGTTTTAAAATGGACAGAAGACCACTTCCATAGCTTATGTTACGTTCACTCTTTCAGAACTGAGATGATCAGAGTTGTGGGTCTTCTGGTTTCATACCTTTGGCCTAACGAGTGGTCCAACTCACTGAGCTGCCGTTAGCAGATGCCCAGAGTGTGCGTGTGCCAGGCGAGGAAGCTACACCAAGATTTCTCGGTGACATTGCTGGTGGAGGCCCTTTGTGCTCCTGGAAACCCTGGTCTAGACAGCACCAGGACACTCAGGCTCAGTACACACACCGAGCACAACGATCTAAAGTCTTCCCGCTCCTGATTTGGGGAAACCAAGGCTCAGAGAAGACAATCAACCTGCCTAGTTGTAAAACAAATCAATACTAAATTAGATTACAACTTGGATGCCTGGGTTCAGATCTTGTGCCATTTCTCTTTAAAAATAGACATGAACTTTATAAACATCTATCGAAGAAAGGCTCTATGCAAGATGTTGTGAAGGTAACACATTCTCTCTCCAATAAAGTCATGCTAGCCTCTCCTGGCAATAGGAACTACCGCCATGCAAGGCCAAAAGTATTTAGGCATTGAAGATATTCTTTACATACAGCATGGAGTGGATATACAACTACAAGGAATTATTTTCCAGAGTTATTATATTATTCGGCAGTAAAGCATATCATATGCCTGGATGGGTTTTCTCCAGCAATTATTGACAAGAATATCCACTCTTTGATGTTTAAAACACGTTAATATGAGAAGTTAGGCTGCTCAAATTCACCCTATTTGTCGTGTGCATGTGGTAAGCAGTAGGATACTGCTTAACCTCTCACCTGTATTTTTCTCCCAAGTCAAATGCACTTCCTCATAGTTTAGCACCAACCTCACTGGGACACTAAAGGAGAGAATCCATGTAAGGCTGAGTAAGAGCCATTCATCAACAAAGGCAGCCAGGACCAGAGAGAATCACCTAAAACACCCCAGGGCGGCTACCCCATTTCAATTCCCGCTGGATGCCAGCAATCCAGCACTCAGACAGCAGAGTCAGGAGGATTGCTGCAAGTTCAAGGCCAGCCTGCTTTACATAGCCAGGTGTTATGAATCAAAAGGTGTTAAATGGCATATGCAAAGCCACTCCTAAATAAAAACACATCTGGTTCTATCCAGTGACTGCAGTGAGCGCTGTTATGAGTGATCCCGGACTGACTTCAGCAGAGTGAGGGCTGATGACTTTCCTCTTCGTGGGGCTTATGAGGCCTCTGTCAGCTGCTTATCTACAGCCTGGTTTTCCAAATGAAAACGGAGAGAACTGGGTGGGAAGAGCTCCCACCGTCTCCCACATACTTCCACATTCGACAGCTACTGGGGAAAAAAATGGGACCAGCATATTTGTCATGGTCAGGGCCCAGAAATTCAAATCACAAGCACCTTCTCCTACGTAGTAGGTTAGTACCCTGAACTGTGGACGAACCTAAGGAGAAATGCGAAGTAGGCTGGTTAGCTTGAAGTTCTAAGCTCACCACACAGAGAAGAGAAGAGAAGAGAAGAGAAGAGAAGAGAAGAGAAGAGAAGAGAAGAGAAGAGAAGAGAAGAGAAGAGAGCTGCCCTCATTAGCAGCCAGGAGGCAACAACTGTTGAGAGCGTAGTGTGAGGAAAACTAGTCAGTCAATTCCTCAGGTACAGAGTGAAATGTGCAAATTTGGACATCGTTCATAAGACAAACAATAACTCTACTGTAAGTTTTCCTAGGTGACACAAGGCCTGAAATTACAGGTATGTGGTTATTTTCATCCCGGGTGCAATGTACCTTTCAAAGAATTTTTATGCATCCATCATATTAGGAAAGGCATAAAAACACACAAGCTGAACTTTTTCAGTTTACACAGTAAAACACTGTACAAGGACTTTAAATAGCAGAGCTAATAGTTGCCAAAGTCAGTTTGTAGAAATCTCAGCCCGCAGTTCTGCTAATGTGGACTTCTTTCCCCCACTGGCAGGCACCCGCCTGTTTTTCATCAGCTCCCTCTATTACTGCAATGGCTCTGGGAGAGAGCACATCAGGGCCTGTTCAAATCAATGTTCCGATGAGAAAGGCTCAGAGGCATCACACTGCACCCTGGAGCGTCCCTGGGAGAAGGAGGGTCAGGACAAACAACGCAGGCCTGGCTTTTCGACTTCTGCTCATCGGCTTGCCTAGCTGTTTCCCTGGTGCGTCTATTTCTCACGGAACCTCCAGGTGCATGTGATCATCACTGCCCTAGATGAGAATTCACGACTCTGACTGGGCAGTCTCTGAGACCCTGACACAGAAAGTACACGGGTAACAGTACCAGCATCTGGTATTACTAATAAAACCCAGGGAGCAGAGGAGTCGGTCTAAGGGCTTGCTGTGCAAGCCTGGGGACCTGGGTGAGGGAACCAAGCACAGAACAGAAGATGAGGAGTCCTGTGTGCACATGTAACTGGCCCTGGACGTAGAAACAAGAGGAGCCTGTGGCTCACTGCACTGCCAGCCAGTGCAGACCAGATTGTGAACCTCCAGATTCAGTGAGATCCCTGTTTCAAACAACAAGAGGGAGAGTCACAGAGAAGGCATTCATTAACCTCTGACCTCAATATGGTACACGAGTGAGCACCCCAATACCTACAGAGAGGCTGGCCTCCATTTGGTTGTATGAGTGAGCACCCTAATACATACAGAAAAGAAACATGAAAATAGGAAAGAAGCGTAGAATACGTTCATTATTAAACCTATATTTTGTTAGTGACACCATATTCTGGGTCCATATTTCCCAAGGCCACATGATCATGGCAGAGTCTATCTTTGAAATATCTACGTATGGAGATCCACCATGGAGGGCCTCACCCTCCCTGGGGATTGGAGTGGAGATTGGGTGGGGGGCTGGGGGACCTGGTGTGGAGGGCAGGGCAGGGGAGGAGAGGAGGGAGCTGGGATTGACATGTGAAACAAACTTGTTTCTAACTTAAATTTTAAAAAGGAAGAGAAAACAAACACAGAGAAAAAAATAAGCAATATCTACATACGACTTCCAGAGCCTACATTCTGCAGGTGATGCTGCAGGCAGGCAGAGACCTTGTTCCTGGTTGGCCCCAATGGCCTTTTCCTCCTATAGCTCGGCCAGAGGGTCTTGGTCTTTGTTATCTTTTGTATCCAAACTAGCCAAGGCTGGCTGGGGGCGAATGTTTCACGGGGAAGGACAATGTACTGTGCCAAGGGATGAGGGAACTTGGAAAATGCAGCAGAGCTAGCAGAAGGCTGACTTCTCTGCCTCTCGGGGTTTCTCCAAAAGATTGCAGGCCTATGTCCTTTGCTTGTGAGACCAGGCTGTCAGCTTTAATGTGGACGTCTGCAGGGATCTCAGCGGACATATATGCACCAAATCTCACTTCACATGCTGACGGTGTACTGCTGTGTGTGGCCTCTGTTTACCGCTTTCAATAAGATGAACACAGAGCGTGCATGTCTGTAACTGAATGAAAATGTTTACATATGACCACCAGACACGGGCAGCTGCGGACACAGAGCTAATCAGCTTCAACTGCTACAGTCTACGTAGCCTGTGCAGGTATGGAAAATATATTTTGG